CGTCAGCACGTAAAACGGTGTAGTAACTCATGCGCCCCGCACGCGTAACCAGTCTCCATTGCAACAATTATTCACCATCCACTGCGCGCCGACAGCAGCTCCTCTAGATGGGGCAGCCCACCCACCCACTCCAGTTGTGAGTTGCCCTCACTGCTTCTTCCCCTCGCCCCCTTGCCGCGCCGCCAGCAGCTCCTCTAGATCTGCCAATCCACCCACTCTCTCCAGCTCGCCCGGCCCCAGGAACAGCCCAAACGGCACCCCCTTGAACTTGTCCGCGTGGTGCAGCTGGTGGGGGGAAGGGGGGCGGGAGGGGTGGAAGCAGAGAGTAAGATCAGGGGAACAAGGGCACCCGTCCGCCCACCAGCCCCAGCTTGCCCGGCCCCAGGAACAGCCCAAACGGCACCCCCTTGAACTTGTCCGCATGGTGCAACTGTTACACCAGGGAGGGGAGGGGGAGAGACAAGTGGTAAGAGTGCGAGATTGGTCAGGGGAACAATGCCAAAGCATATCGTCCCCCCATCCACTCCAGCTCGCCCGGCCCCAGGAACAGCCCAAACGGCACCCACTTGAACTTGTCCGCATGGTGTAGCGCTGGTGTGAGGGGGGAGAGCAAGGAGAGAAGGAGAGGGTAAGGTCAGGGGAACAAGGGCATTCGTGCACCCAACCCTCTCCCAGGAACAGCCCAGGCAGCACGTGATTGAGCTCGTCAGCGTGATGCAGCTGTGAGGGCAGGGAGGGGAGGCCGAGGGAGAGGAGGTAAGGGTGCAATGAAGGAGGGGGTTAAGCAGGAGCAACTGTGTCACGGGAACTCGCCCGCCCACTCTCTGGATCGTTTGGGCCCAGGAACAGCCCAAACGGTGAAAGAAGGGAGAGGTGCAGCCGGTGAGGAAAGGAGTGGAGAGGAAAGGAATGGAGAGGAAAGTGTGCAAGGGGGGGGGACCATACTAGGAGAAAGGAAAAAGCAAGCGAACAAGCGAACCTACCAAGGGTTGGAGCGACAGCGAAGAGCATGGATGGGGAGAGACACCAATGCCGACAGGGCAGGCATACCTGGTGGGCAGCAGCGACTCGCTTCAAGTACGGGACGTCAGCGATGAACCCACTGGGAATGCTGGTGTTACCTTAGAGGCGCGCACCAATGCTGGCAGGGCAGGGTAGGCATACCTGGTGGGCGGCAGCGACTCGCTTGAGGTACGGGACGTCAGCAATGGGGCCCACTGGGAATCTCCGGTGCACCAGCCCGTCGTGCACGAACATGTAGGCCATTCCGAACACCGTGATGCCCAGGCCCTGTGGGGGGAAGACGGAGGGAAGAGGGGAGCGATAAGGAACAAAGGGTGGGAGGCAAGGACACGTTGAAACACGAGCTCGTCGTGCACGAACATGTAGGCCATTCCAAACACGGTGATGCCCAGGCCCTGTGGGGGGAAGGTGGAGGGGAAGGGGACGCGGAACGGGAACGGCATGAGCAGAGCGTGTGGGAAGGCGGAGGGCACGGAAGGCAGAGGAGCGGGAAGAGAGACGAAGGCAGACGCCAGCGTAAGGTGAAGGGAGGTGGAACGTGGAGCGTGGCTTTGAACGGCGCCACATCGGAGGCGGGAAATAGTGCGGGGCGAATTAGCCGTCGGCAAGCCGGGAGGGCAGCGAGGGTGGAGCAGGGTAAACGAGAGAAGGAAACAGACGCGCCTCGGAAAGATAAAAGTTAAAAAGGCGCTGCGTCGTACGGCGCCGAAGCAGACGCTGGGGACGAGTCGACGGTTGAAGAAGTCGTACGTAAGGCGGGAGGAGTGCGAGGGGCAAGCAGGCAGAAGGAGAAAAGGCAGTTCGGCGCGCCTAGGCGAAAGAGTTTACGAGGTGCGGCAACGTACGGCGCCGAAGCAGAGGCCGGGGACGAGCCCCGGGTTGAAGAAGCCGTAGGCGATGAGCGCGATGGCGGGCACGGCGTTGATGATCGCGAACACGTCGTTCAGCTCGAACGCGCCCTCCCGCGGCTCGTGGTGCGACTGGTGGGGAGAAGGGAGAGGGAAGGCAAGAGGTTAGCCGAGATGAACAAGCTGATCACGCACGAGGCTCGGCATTGGCTCGGCTCGTCACGGACGGGAACAAAAATGTCAAGCGGGATCTGAGGGTGGTGCCACGCGAAACAGACCAACATTTTGAACGAGCAAGTGATGGCAGCCCGGCTCTCACACAGAGCGATCTGATTGTCATTGGATTTAAGATTAATGCCAACTCATGCATTGCCGTTATTGCCGTACACAGTTAGCAAAGAGCCCCCGTTACCTTGTGCATGCTCCACAGGGATCCGTGCCACAGCGCGTCGTGCGCCCATCGCGCCCAGAACTCCATCCCCACGGCCGCGCCAATCACGAGCGCCACCGTGCCCACCACCTCCTCTATGGGGACCGTCTCGCCCTGCACGCACCCAGTGAAGCCGCATATTAATCCTTAATGATAAAAGAAACACTTTTTTGAGCAAAACCATTGACTTTGGGCGGTTTTGGTTTCTAACTTTGATATACGAGAGTGAAATGGTTGGTTATCAATACTTCAGCCATTTTCGCCTGATCGCGCTATGAGTGCAGCTTACCTGCGTCTGGAAGACGAAGCGGTACCAGACGGCGCCGACAGCGAGGAACGTGACTCCCACACTTGACGCTATCGCGGCCAGCTGGTACGTGGATCGCTCGCTTTGTCGCCGCCTCTTCCGCTCCAGCGCCGTTTCTGAAAGACCCGCCGACGCGGCGGCTGGAAGGCTCTCCGCAACAGCCGCTGCGATCTTTATTTTCTCGTCTTCGAGGAGAGTCGGTTCGTCCAATGTAGATCCGTTGGCGGTCTGCGGCGATCTGGTTTTAGGCATTTCAGCCACGGCGTAAGTGACGAGGCGCCTGGATCGCTGCACGAGGGACACTTCTCGTACGGCGTGCACGCGGCATTCTGTTCCCACCGAAAAAGACTTTGACGGGACGGAGGCTCTTAGCGAGCAGCCAGCAACAGCTACGCAACTCATGGTGAGACAAGTATCGGAGAAGATAAGAGCTTGGAGTGGGGAACGGTATCTGGCGATGCTTTACTAGAGAGGCTTTTTACGAAGAGAGGTGAGTCTCACTATTATGATCCGAGAGTTTGGCTTGAGAAGGTCATTCCCTGATATGCGCTCGCAAAATCTCCCTCCCAGGCGGACTCCCTGCTTGATGGTCGGCAAAGGAATCAGGCAGCAGCAAGCAGCCTGAGGAGCTGCGGTGTTCTCAAGGCGAAGCAACGAACGAATGGAAGAACAAGCACTGAAGGAATGAGGGCCAGCAAAGAAATGCGGATCATAATGCAGGCAAGTGAGAGGGCGAGAATGTGATTACGATGATCTCTGCGATCGCGGACTCGTGTGAGCGTCGCCCCCTCAAAGTGTTCTCCATTTGCCAAAACCCAAGAGCTTGGCCACGTCGTCACTAGCCACGCAGTAGAAATTCTTTTCGAGAGTTCCAACCAATGAAATGCACTCTTCTGTCGATGTGGCAAAGTTTCTTTGGCTTTCTGGTGTGGTTGGAGCTATTTTTGGGACCACCTGTCGCACGCTTTTCATCATTACGAAGTCATTCTCGCATGTGTGGTGGAGCGCTCCCGCCACATCGGACCAGCGCATCTCATCCATCCAATCTACAGTCTCGGTGAGGAGTACCTCCAGAAGCTGGGGGAACTGCATGGGACTTTGCGGTGCACATCAACTGGAACTATCCATCCTAGAAAGATGGTCAGAGGAGGTACCCTTAGCACCAGCGTATCCGTGTGTGGTGGAGTTCTCTTACACTGTAACGGAGCATCAGCAAAGCCTTGCAGCGCAGCTCCATATGATGAGGACTTGAATCTTGTACAGTACATGAAAAAACATTATCAACGGAACATATATGTAGCATACACAGGGAGCCACATTTGTTCTGACCTAGAAGTTGGGGCAAACTGGCGGGAACCACTGTCAGAGAACACCTCGTCAGCGAATGGGCAGTTGAGAAGGTGGTGCCGTGCTAATTCGCGACACGCGTGTGAGTCAAAATCCACCGTCGATCTCATCGTGCTGTTGGCGGCAATTATCCGACGGTGGAATCATGCCAGTGATTGGCAGTTGTTGCTGCAGGCGATGCGGGATCCCGTCAGCCAAGAGGCACACAGCATGGGAAATGCCTGCCAGAATTATTCATGGCTCATGACTGATGAGCTATGGAGAGCAGAGCTCCATGAAAACAGGTAGCATAGGGGAAGTGCGGGAACATGATGGCCCTGTTCGCCAGCACATTTGAAAATTTACGGTATGAATGATTGATTTCAGTGCGTCCTCCATCACTTGTAATATGAATTTCTGGACAACATACTTGTCTCCGACGCAGGTTCCAGTGATAAGATCGAAATTAGTAGATTAGGTCTCAGATAGACGGCAGTACCGACGTGTGGTACACTCACGTGCTTCATCGGTGAACGCTAATTCCCTTAGCGTGAAGCTGCATTCGATTGGTGCTATTTTGAACTCTCAGGTGGCTCATAGATCCTTCGCCTCAGCGCTTCAACGATTAGTTTTGTTCTTAACTTAAATCGTTACTTCCTTTATCTTTCCAGATCAAATGGCTCACTACTGCGTAAAAAGTCCCGCCAGATTTCAAGAGACGAATCCAGCAGACCAGAGACGGCACGTAACTTCATCCAGTTCACCGTCATCTTCGGAACCGTCGATTAATCTACAAACTCCTACCATCGGTCCCAAGTCAGCAGGCTCTGATGACGCCGTGTCTCCTCCTCTCGTCTTTCCTCTGCTCGACAGCCAATCATCCAATCAGGTCACTCCCGAGCTCCGGCCGAGCCAACCCCGAAACGGCACTGGACGCAAGATTGACGTGGAAAATCTCCCTAATCTATCCGCCTCACCCGTTCCTAAGACACGTCTCTTTGACTTGCCTGAGTGTAGTACAGGTCGTAAGTTCCGGCTGTCGAAGTCCATCGGAGAGATCTCGATAATGCCTCCCGTGGTGATGTCCGAAGGACCCTGTAACACGAGAGCGAGAAGCTTTAAAGCGAGGACAGGCGAGCACGAGCTCCTTGATGGGCTGAAGCAGCGATGGAGAGGCCTCGGCGCCGACAATAACGAGTTCCAAAATGACGGCTTGCAATGTGCTGGTTACCACATCGCGAAGCACGACGAGGAAAACGCGATCGCACGCGCGGGAATCACGGACCGAAGCGCTGCGATAAGGAGAACCTGCAGCGAAGCTGCGGCTCAGCTTCACGCCGCACTACCCGGCGACGGTTCCTCCGACATCCTCCGTCGAGAGGCTCGTACCGCGGTGGTCGATCCGTCTCCGTCTACGTCTGCTCCATCCGCGGGTGAAGTCCCTCCGCCGTTCAAGCCATGGAGAACGAGCCGGCATCCAAACCAAAAGCGGCCGACTCAGCACGGTAGTGTGGATCAGCGACCGCCGCTGGCGCAGCAGCCGTGTCGGCCGAAGCACTATCAACCCGATGAGCGTCGTCTGTACGAACAGCAGCCACTAGAGACTCAGCAGCAGCAGCAGGAGTTGCGGCGGATAGGCGTGTCAGGACCCCGGTCCCTCTACAGGAGCGAAAGCGCGTTTCCCGCGCTTTTTCTCGAGCAGATTGACGGCGACAGCGCTGACAGACCGTCGGATCATGCTGACGTGGCGGGCGGCCTTGGTGGCCGTCAGCAATTGGAGGAGAGTGTCGGTCGCACGGTGTCGCTCGAGCAGTCCGCCCTCGAGGCCCTCGCAGCGCCGTTCAAAGTTCCCCACACCCCTCCGCGCGGTCAGAAGACGCGCCGCTTCCCTACCAGCCGAAGCGAGAGCAACGCTCACAACAGCAGCAGCAGCGGGCTCGGCAGCCACAGCAGCAGCAGCAGCAGCAGCACCACCACCACCACCACGGGACACAGCTTCTGCACACCGACGGTCAGTCGCAGCAAATCAAGGTACACCCCAGCACGCGGCATCAGCGCCAGGCCTTCCCCCGTTCCCCCGATCGTCATCAGTCCGGCTGTGCGCGCCTCTGCGGATTCTTTCGCCAACCCTCGCGTCTCTTCCCCCAGCCTCCGCCCGCTCGTTTTCTCCCCCCCAGTCTCATCCCCCGCGCGCGGAACCTCCCCGTTCGGACCAGCGTTGGTGCGGGAGACAGTCTCTACAGTGGAGCTGAGCGCGCGGGGGGACGCGGGGAGCTATGCAGGGGGAATATTGGGGGAAGAGGGGGACGGCGCGGAGGAGGGGGAGCGGGAGTTCACGCGGCACGTGTTGGGGCGGCCGTACGCGGAGCTTGAGGCGCGGTATGAGGTGGCGGAGGGGGAGCTCGGGCGGGGGAAGGTGGGCGTGCTGCGCGCGTGCAGGTGCCGCGCGACTGGGCGGCAGTTCGCGTGCAAGACCATCAGCAAGGCCGCCATGATTGTGAGTGCCATCGATAGTGTTAGTGATAGTACATTTCCTGCAAGGCCATCAGCAAGGCCGCCATGATTGTGAGTTCCGTTCGTTTCTGAGACGTCAAAAAACGCCGTTGCTTCCTCCCCGACCGTTCAAGTAACTTTCGCCCCCGTACCCAGTTCGCGTGCAAGACCATCAGCAATGCCGCCATGATTGTGAGTGGCATTATGATTCTGAGTTCTTTCAGAATGCCATCGCTAGTGATGGATAGTGCATTGATAGTGCAGATCCCGTTGCTCGCATGGCACGCACTGATAAGTGCGTCACGCAATGTGTCCTCTTGCCCCGAGGCTTCCGTGCGACGATAGAGTATCTTGCGCCCCCGTACCCTCTTCGCTTGCGCCGAGCGCTCATTTGCGCCCGCGCTGCGCGCCCTAACCCCCCGTCGTTTCCCCGCCCCCCATGCTGCGCCAAACCCCCGCGCAGTGTGAGGCGGAGTGTGACGAGGTGCGGCGGGAGGTGCAGATGATGCAGCGCGCGCGCGGCCACCCGCGCATAGTCAGCATGCACGAGGCGCTCGAAGACGCGCGCGCCGTCCACATCATCATGGAGCTCTGCCACGGTGGCGAGCTCTTCCACCGCATCGTGACACGTCAGCGCTACAGCGAGCCCGCGGCCGCCAGCGTGGCGCGCCAGCTGGCGTCGGCGCTGGCGTTCCTGCACGCGCGGGGAGTGGCGCACCGGGACGTGAAGCCGGAGAACATTCTGCTGTGCTCGCGCGCGGACGACACCAGCATCAAGCTCACCGACTTTGGGGCCGCCGCGCTGCTGCTGCCTGGTATGTGTTCCTCCCCACCCATTTCCCTCCGCCCATTCCCCTCCGCCCATTCCCCTCCGCCATTCCCCTCCGCCATTCCCCTCCATCAATTCCCTCTCCAATCACCGGGATGTGAAGCCGGAGAACATTCTGCTGTGCTCGCGCACTGACGACACGAGCATCAAGCTCACGGACTTTGGAGCCGCCGCGCTGCTGCTGCCTGATAGGTGTTTTACCCCACCCAGTTCTCTCCACCCATTCCCGTCACCCCATTCCCCCCTACCCCATTTCCCTCACCTTATTCGCTTCGGCCCACTCTCCATTCCCCCTTCCCGCCCAACCTCTCCTCCCCTCCCATTGCCTTCCGCCCATTCCCCTCTTCATATCCTCTCCACCATCCCTCTCCAACCAAGCCCTTTCCCCCATCCCGCTCCAGCCCATCCCCCGCCATCCATCCCCCACTCCCCATTCCCCTTGGTATCCACCCCTCACTACCCTCGCACAATGCATAGAGCCAGTGGGCTCGCCCTGTTGCTCAGCCCCCGAGGTGCTGACAGAGCAGTATTCAGGCCCCCAACCATCCTTCTGCGCACCCCTCACTACACTTGCAGCACAATGCATAGAGCCAGTGGGCTCGCTGTATTGCTCAGCGCCCTAGGTGCTGACAGAGCAGCACGGGTTGCCGGCCCCCATCCATCCTTCTGCGCACCCCTCCCTACAGGCACACAGTGCACAGAGTGAGTAGGCTCGCCCTATTATATGGCCCCGGAGGTGCTGACAAAGCAGTATAGGCTGCAGGCGGATGTTTGGAGCCTCAAACCACCTTCTCTTCTTCTCATTCACCTCCGCCTGCTCCCTTCCAGGCACACAGTGCACAGAGAGGGTAGGCTCGCCCTACTACTTAGCCCCCGAGGTGTTATCAGAGCAGTATGGGCCGCAGGCAGACATGTGGAGCCTCAATCAACCTTCTCTTCTTTTTCCCATTCGCCTATGCCCCACTGCACACCCATTCCTACAGGTACACAGTGCACCGAGCGAGTGGGCTCGCCCTACTACTTAGCCCCTGAGGTGCTGACAGAACAGTATGGGTTGCAGGCGGACGTGTGGAGTGCAGGGGTGGTGCTCTTTGTCCTGCTCTTGGGCTCGCCGCCCTTCTTCTCCCCGTTCACCTGTGCCTGTTTCTTTCTCCCCAAACCCTCTGCACACCCCTTCCCTCCAGGCACACAGTGCACAGAGAGGGTAGGCTCGCCCTACTACTTAGCCCCTGAGGTGCTATCAGAGCAGTATGGGTTGCAGGCGGACGTGTGGAGCGCGGGGGTGGTGCTCTTTGTGCTGCTCTCCGGATCGCCACCCTTCTCTGGCCGCTCCAACGACGAGATCTTCCAGGCCGTCCGATGCAAGGAGATCGACCTCGCGAGCAAGCCCTGGCCGTCGATCTCGGAGGGAGCGAAGGATGTCGTCCGTCGGATGCTCACGAGGGACCCTGAGGCGAGGATCACCATGAAAGAAGTGCTCGGTGAGTGGGTGGGCTGCTTAGGGTAGGGCTGGAGGAACCACGCTTTGAGGTGTTGGATTGAAATTTATCTCATCAGGGGGAACAGGGCTATGCGTGGGTGGTAGTTTCTTTCTGAGCTGTATGTGCTGTATTGCGAAACTGATGGGGCAGCCAGATGGAAAAATGCACGTGCACAAGCGGCAGCACAAGCATGAGTGGTGTGGTGACTAGAAATCTGAGGCGAGGGTCACCATGGAAGAGGTGCTCGGTGAGTGGCTGCGCTGCATCAGTTGGGGCTGGTGGGGCCAAAGCTTCGAGGGAACAGGGCCATGCTCACGAGGGACCCCGAGGCGAGGGTCACCATGGAAGAAGTGCTGGGTGAGTGGCTGGGCTGCTGGGGCTGGAGGAGTTGGAAATGTTGAATGGATGGTGCCATTTGAGTCGCCTCAAAACTCACAAGGGACCCCGAGGCGAGGGTCACCATGGAAGAAGTGCTGGGTGAGTGGCTGGGCTGCTGGGGCTGGGGCTTGTGGGGCCAAAGCATTGAGGGAACAGGGCCATGCAGGGGTCGCATCATTGAGCTGCATGTGCATCGTGGCGAAACTTATGGGGCAGCCAAATGCATCTGCCCAAGCAGCATCACAACCATGATTGGTGAGTGGGGATCACAGCCATGTGCCCCAACTGTGAATCACAGATGTGATTGACACCAGTGCATGCCAGGTGATTGCTTGGCATCACTTTGAGGCGGGCTGCATGGATGAGCGGCACCATATAACCCTTTATCCCCAAACCGCCCCGCGTTGGGTGTTGGAACGAGAAGCCTCTGTTTCACAACAAGCCCTTTGGTAGGTGTTCCATCTCATCCCTGCTCCATTGTCCCGCCATCATCAGCAATTACCAAACCATTCCCAGGACCATGGTGATGTGCTGTGCTCGTGGCAGGCTATTTTTCCTCACCAGCATGTAGTGAGGCGGTATTATAGGCCCCTCGAAAATCGACACCATAGAGCAATTTCTAAACCACCCGCAGGATGTGCAGCACTCTCTGCAGCGTGTTCTGCCATGAGTTTCTTGCTATTCCTTTCAGTGACCACCATTCTCCCCGATTCTTGCAACTCTGGTTCCGTGCAGATCACCCATGGATCTGTGGCCATGCAGAGAGTACATCTACATGACTTGGTGGCATATGTAGTGGGAACAGTGTAGTACGTTAGGCTTTTCTCCGTTGCAATCTACGATCTGTGGAGCCCAAAAGCGTTAGTCCACACTTTAGGTAGAGGGATGCTGTTCATGGCAGTGGTAATCGCATGCTGTGCTGTGGTTACTGGTTGTAAAAGGTTCGGTGATCGAAGTGCTTTGAGGGAAGAGGGGAGTTTCTATCGTAGTATTCTGCAGGTATACTAGTTCAGCTGCCACATATAATTCAGGTTCTTCTGAGCTTCTTTCTCATTGATAATATGATTTTATTTAATTGCTAAACTATGGAACCTTTCAGTGACTTGATGGCATAGCAGTGCACTGTAACATGCAGTCGCCACCCCAAGCAAATCAAGGTTCATAAACCCTGCAGGAAAGATTTCGATTGTATAACTACGGTATTGAGCAGTACTTAGCAGTGTAGCTATCGCACATAATCCCATTACAGCTATATTGGTCATTCTACAGTGAGAATGTTGTTCTCCAGCATACCGTGACCCACGGTGGGCCACTCTGTCGCCACTCTCCACTCACCGTCCACCAGAAACTTGATCTCGTACCTGCACACATGCATGCCCGTGCACAAATGCACACGCAGATGCACAGTGGGATGCAAGGACAGAAAGATGGGGGAGAAGGGATTAATATTGCATCATGCCGTGGCCCACCGTGGGCCAATTTGTCGTCACTCTCCACTCACCGTCCACCAGAAACTTGATGTCGTAGCTGCACACAGTTGAATGCACGCACACAAAAGCTGAATTCAGAATGGCCTCGCAAGAAGCAGCCTCGACATGACGCAAGTGATCATGGGATGGGGGAAGGCCATGAGAGTGGCATGGCACACAGGAATGCAGTGGCCCTGTGAGAAGAGTGGATCATGCGCCCGAGCAACGAGTCGATGGGGTGGTGAGCAGCCATGAGCAACTGCTTGAGCACATCGGCACATCGGTGCCAGTGGTCCCAGGACACATCTGCTCTTCATGTGCTCGAGCACAGTCGTGAAGCAGGTCATGGTGCCGGTGGTCTCAAGTCTCGTTTGAGAATTCTCAAAAAGGATTTCTGTTCTGATGAGCTGCCTTTGGAACAGGCTGTCCATACCTACCCCGAACCTCAGCCTGAGAGCGGTGCAGTACAGTGGTGAGCGGTGGTGAATGACGGAGAACGGTGGTGAATGGTGGTGAGCGGTAGCTAGAGGTGAGCCATCCTTACCTCCCAGGGCGCAGCTTGAGCACAGTGGTGAATCGAGTCATGGTGCCGGTGGTCTCAGGAGACATCTGCTCGCCGTACGTCCAGCCGTCAAACGACCCCATCACCTTCACATCCTCCGCCATGCCAAACCACACCAAGGGGACCTCCCGCAGGCGCAGCTTCTCGATTCCCTCCAGCTGCTGCCTCAGGTCGGAATAGAGCTCTGAAGGTGGGGAGCGAGCGAGGGGGAGCGGTAGGACGAATGAGAAGGGAAGGGGAGCGAGGGGAGTGAGGGGATGTGGGTGAGAAGCGGAAGCACACCGGAGGCATCTCCTCTGCGGCCGTACGGCCAGCCGTCGAACGACCGCATCACCTTCACGTCCTCCGCCATGCCAAACCACACCAGAGGTACTTCACGCAGGCGCAGCTTCTCGATTCCCTCCAGCTGCTGCCTCAGGTCGGAATAGAGCTCTGAGGGGTGGAGGAGAGGGGAGGGGGAGGGGAGGAGAGCGGGGGAGCAAGGGAGGGGAAGAGGAGAGGGGCAAGAAGAGTGAGCAAATGGGAGGGTGCATGGGATGGTATGGCAGTATGCATGCGAAGCAACTCACCACCACTAGAGCCATGGCATACACCTAGCTTCATCCGTACCTTCCAATCTGTTGCTGAGATGCGACGGCAAATATCGACCGTTGATCTTCCTTGTGACTGGCAAGCCATCGGTCTTCACGATCTCCTCCGCAACCTCGCTCAGCTCCTGGAGCAATGAGCGCGCAACACGTGGCAAATGGAGAGTCATTGGAGAAAATGATGAGCACAGCGTGTTTGGTAATTCAGGTGCAATGTGCATGCATGCATGAACATATCATGTATGTATGGCTTGCTTGGTGTAACCAGAGGTATGAGAGCTGTCAGCTGTTCATGCCATCTCAAATTTTCATCCCACCCAACCTTCACGTTCGGTCCCGCCTTCATCCCAACTCATCTCAACCGAAACTCTAACCAATCATCGTAACACACATCGAAGTAGTTCATCCCATCCAATCTCAACCGTCCACCCAACCCATCCCATCGTAACCGCCCAACCAATACATCCCATCTCAGCCGTTCATCCCATCTCACCCGCATTTCCGCCGCCAGTGCGATCATGAGTGCCTTGGAGTCGCTCAGTGCCTGCTCGCGGTATTGCACCTGGTGTGGAGAACGGGGAGGGGGTTGTGGAGTGGGGAGAAAAGCGGGGGAGGAGAGTGAGGAGCAGAAGGGCACAATCCGAACCTCGTGTTCACCTTTAAGTCGCTCAGCGCCTGCTCGCGGTACTGCACCTGGTGAGGGGAAGGGGAGAGGGATGGGGGTGTGGCTGGGACGGAAGCGGTGACCTAAAATTCACAACCTTAACGTCGCCGTGGAAGCGTCATAAGGCTAGCCGAAATCCCTCGATCCTTGCAAGTTCGAGCCACAACGTACGTGCGCCGCGCCTAAACGCCGAGCCTATCTTCAGAGACGTAGAAACTCAATCTACTTATCCGCAGCAGACAGGGTCATGTTTTGGAAAACGTTGGGTTGCGTAACCAGAATTACAGCGAAAGATGAAATGTTTCTTGTCCGGCGCGGTCGTCCAAGCTATCACTCGCACGCAGCAATAGAAACGCGCTTGTTCTAGTTAAGGCCGCTCTTTTCTCCTCCACGCCCTGAACGTTCATAAGCTTACTTACCTATAGCGACCAAACGGAGCACCCCTATTTCTCCCTTCTCCATGCCCCGTACTTCGCGCTGCAGGAAGCGGTTGTACGTGTTGGACTCGCTCAGCTTCTTGTTCAGCCCGTTTCTTCCTCACCAAAGCCTAAAATTTTGACAGCTCACCTCCCGTAACCAAACACACAGACCCTCCCCCACCAGCTCCCCACCGCTTCCCATCGCTCCGTACAGCTCCGTACCTCGCGCTGCAGGAAGCGGTTGTACGTGTTGGACTCGCTGAGCTTCTTGTTCAGTCGCGACCGCATGGCGATGACCTGGCGAATGACAGCAAGGGTAGATTGAACATGAACGGACGCGGCGACGAGAGAATGAGAGGAGCGGGAGTGACGAAGAAGAACGACGATGGAAGAAACAGCTCGAAAGACGTGCTTTCGTGAAATTGGTAGCGACGCACGAGGCGCAGTGGGTGAGTACACGGACGGAAAAAGGATTGGACGCCATGGCCCCACCAACGACGAAAATACGCCGCCAATTATAGTTTTTTAAGAAATGCGTCAACCGCTGCACACGTGGCAAGTAACTGGACAATTCAACATCCAAACGGTTCTCACCTCAGTACGAGGCACCACTGTTCTGTCGTCGGGTGTCGCCATGGACGGGGAGGAACGCGCCTTGGGTATCAATCCCTCAAGGTCGCTCTCCGCATCTTGCGCCGGCTGCGCCTTCGCCGCTGCCAGCCATGGCATCTGCCGCGCGACTGACGCCGGAAGACCCGGAATGCTCGGCGCATCGGGAGCCGCGACGGCAGGTTTATTAGAGAGGTCGTTTTCAGGGTTGTTAGCGAAGTCGCTGTAACGAGGGGATTTGACGGGCGGCCGCGCGGTGTCCGCGCGGGGAGGGGGAGGTTTAGTTGTCTCGTTCGCGAGCTTCTTTACGAGATTCGACAAGTCCTGCAGCTCGCTTGGTAACTTCGCGAATTCGCTGGACGAATACTGCGACTTTCGCGAGCCTTCGGAAATTGCCGAAACGACGTGGCGACGGGAAGCCTGCGGCAGCTTCTGTGAGGTGAAGGAGTGTGTCGCCGTGCGAAGCGCGAGAGGTCGAGCTTCTTGTGGACCGGAGAGAAGGAGCGCCGACCCCGATGGAGAACACCGTGTGAGAATATCCATGGTTGAACCAGGCAGCTTACGTAACACAAAAAAGTGCGCTCACGCGAAAAAAACGAAACTTGAGCAATTCAAGGCCTGAGATAAGGTAGGTTCCTCAGACACTAACAGCTGTGCTCGGACTTACAGCTTCTCCGGCTCACAGGCTCTTCCGCAGGCAATTAGGCAGGGAGCGGAATGGTGAGTGCAAGAGGAGCTGATGTCGAGCAATTGCAGCCAAGCCAACTATTTTGGAGTATTCAGCAAAGAATGTTTCTCAGAATATCACCGAGTGGAGATAATGCTTGAGTGCGGGTGTTGGTGGTGTTGGGGAATGCCAGGGAAAGTGCTTTTGGTTGTGTGAACAACCTTGGATCTGGATTGAACGGTTGACGCGAGAGTCTGGCGACAGATAACAGCGAAGCGAACTCCAGCGAGGGCGCTAGCACCGCGCGAATATTCGAGAAAGGGATGTTATCGAGGTGAAGTGGCCCGCTCGTGCATCTAGAGGCAGAATGAACTCAAATGTGGGGACTGCGATTGTGCCACGTGTAATCATAACTTGTTCGTCCAGATTCGTTCTGAAATCTCCATCTCCATGGATATTGGAAGCATTTGAAGTGTCACGTCAGACTTGAAGCCAATTTCCGGCTTGGCTCGCAGTGCAGTTTGTGCGGAGGAACTAGTGGCTCAGAGGGATGCGCCGTGATGGGCGGAAGCCAACATACACGTAATCATGACTCGGTCAAGCAACTAGCCAGCTCCCTCAACAACCATGCCAGCCACCACCACCACCGTGGCCACACCCACCCACACCACACCCCACATCTCAGCTGTTGCATCGCCTGCAATCTCTTTACACTTTGTTTTTGCGAAGTTCAGCATACATATAACGTGGTTTTATTTATTCTAATCAGTACACTGCAGTAGATGAGATGCATAATACGTACTTCTGAAGTGAGCATCAAATTCCAACGACACATCCAGTCCAGACCACAGAGCTTCTTTGCCACGATTTTTTCCGAAGGATGCCCCGCATTGCAAGCGTGGAACTATAGAGATAGCGACGGCGAGTTTGTCGCCTAGATTTCTTGTGGCCTGGACGAGATAAGCGGTCAGCACGTACTGCAGGAAATTCCATGGAGGACGCGAAATACACCGCGATTCCCCTCTCGTGTAAGCTGACATGGAAGTTAGGACTGTCGACTTGGTACGGAGACCTGATTTGGAGGTACTGTGCGGGCTTTGCATCTCCTTGACGCATTCGGTGGCGTATTTCTCGGCGCATTTTGCTTTCTACCGGTCCCCAAATTCTCCTCACTATCGAGTGACTCGTTAATTTTCTTCCACCCCATCCTCCCACCACTCGAACACAAGGGCGCGAAAGTTCCGGAGAGCTTCGCGTGCATGAGTCCGCTGACGACATCTCGCGAAGCCTGGCTGACGTCATCGTGAGAGCTTCCGAGGTGAGGCAGCCAGGAGAGGCATACCGACTCTCATGCGTGTAACGACTACAAATTTCACAGGTTCTCACATCGTCTTCACTGCCCGCTTCTCTTTCACCCCAATCGCACCTCATTTTTCTCACCCCCCCGCTCACCCCATAATCCACATCCCATCCCATACCTCCCCCTCGCCCGCCAATCCCCGTCATTTCCCCGTTCCCACCCACACCCTGCCCGTCCAGGCAGCCATAGCAGCGCATGGCTCTTTCAGCATCGCCATTTCAGGGGGGTCCGTCGTGACATGTCCCGTCCATCCCCCCATCCCCTCAACCAACCCCCATCCATACACCCGCCCATCCAGGCAGCCATAGCAGCGCATGGCTCTTTCAGCATCGCCATCTCAGGGGGATCTGTCGTTAAATGCCTGGGGTAAGCATTACCCACGTGGCATTGCCATGCTGCCAGGCTGTCGTTCTGAGCTGTCACTATCCAACTCGCCGAGCTGCTCTGTTGTTTCTCGCCCCACCGTTCCTTACACATTATTTTATTTCGAGAGTAAATAAACATCGTCTTCAAATTTGCTGTCCTCCTGGGGACCTTACCTCTTTGAGTCTCCTTCTTCCTCTCCCCAACCCACTCCTCTTCCACACCAGCCAGCTGGCGCATCCAGATATCGCGGCGCGCTGTGATTGGTCCAGGTGGCATGTGTTCTGGGTGGACGAGCGGGCCGTGCCTCTGACTCACCCCGACAGCAACTACCTGCTGGCGCACACGCACTGGCTCTCAAAGGTGCTCCCTTTCCCCTGTGTGTCCTAGAGCGTTTGAAAGCCTGTAATTCAACGCAAACAGCATGCCTCTGACTCACCCCAATAGCATCCCTCTCACTGACTCACCCCGACAGCAACTACCTGCTGGCGCACACGCACTGGCTCTCCAAGGTGCTTCCTTTCCCCACAGTGTGCATCTGACAGCAACTAAACAGCACAGACGATTCTTACACCCCCCTCTTGCCTTGTATGCCCGCAACTACCCTGCCGTCACCCCTGGTGCCCATTCCATCCGTCCACATCCACACTCTCCACGATTCTTACACCCCCCCCCCCCCCCCCCTCCCCCCCTCCCCCTCCCTCTTGCCTTGTATGCCCACAACAACTCGGTCTTCTCCCCAGGTGCCCATTCCATCCGCCCACATCCACACTCTCGACGACTCTCTCCCAGTGGAAGCAGCAGCAGAGGCGTATGAGCGCGAGATGGCGCGGTGTGTTGAGGCTGGGGTTCTGCCGATGCACCCAGGTAGGCTTGCTCGACCCGCCAGGCCTGTTCACCTTCACCCGGGGGTTTCTCCTGATGCACCCAGGAGGCTGGCTCATCCCGCTAGCATTGCTAGGCTTGCTCTCGATGTCTGCTAGGAGTGATGTTTCCGTCACTCCCAGTGGAAGCAGCAGCAGCAGAGGCGTATGATCTTGAGCTGAGGCAGTGCGTGGAGGCTGGGGTTCTTCTGACACACCCAGGTAGGGTGGCTCATCCTGCTAGCCCTGCTAGGCATGCTCTTTCCGTCACCCTCAGTTGAAGCAGCAGCAAAGGCATACGAGCGCGAGTTGAAGCAGTGTGTGGATGTTGGGGTTCTCCTGATGCACCCAGGTAGGCTTGCTTGACTCCTGGGCCTGCTAGGCCTGCTATACCCCTGCTAGGCCTGCTATACCCCTGCTAGGCCTGCTATACCCCTGCTAGGCCTGTTATACCCCTGCTAGGCCTGCTTCGTCCGCTTGCTGCGGTTCGAACCCACATCTTCGTGCTATTTCTGTCTCCTTCAAGGGATGGGTGGCACCAGACCCATACGGTTGCCCCCTTCCCCTTCGTCTCAACCACACCACCTTGCGTCTGCCCGTTTTGTCCTGTTGTGCAGATACGCCCTTCCCCAGATTCGACTTCATCCTTCTAGGGGTGGGCCCGGACGGCCACGTTGCCTCTCTCTTCCCCTCGCACCCCCTCCTTGTCTCCACCTCCCCCTCCCCATCCGCCTCCCCCTCCCCATCCGCCTCCCCCTCCGCCCCTCCCCCCCACTGGTGCCGCCATCTCTCTGACTCCCCCAAGCCTCCCCCTTGCCGAATCACCCTGACCCTCCCAGTGCTGCTGTCAGCTGCCGTGGTGGCAGTCGTGGCGATGGGGGAGGGGAAGAGGGAGCTTCTGGGGAGGCTGTTTGAGGCAGGGGGGACGGGGTTCGCTGTGGGAACTGGTTTGCCTGCCAGTATGGTTCTGCCACGAGATGGAGAACTGATATGGATGGTTGATAGGGAGGCTGCAGCTGGGTTCTTACAAGATTCTTGATTCGTGTTGTGACGCTGGCTCCTCCGGTCGTTATCACCCTGTCTCTCCCGGTGGTGGCGGTGGTGGCGATGGGGGGAGGGGAAGAGGGAGCTGCTGGAGAGGCTGTCTGAGGCAGGGGGGACGGAGTTTGCTGCGGGAACTGGGTTACCTGCCAGTATGCTGTTGCCAAGAGACGGGAGCCTGATTTGGATGGTTGATACGGAGGCTGCTGCTGGGTTCTTACAGGTTTCCTGATGCGTGCTGTGCTGCTGGCTCTTCCTGTGGTGTTGCCAAGAGAAGGGAGGCTGGTGGTCTGGATGGTTGATATGGAGGCTGCTGCTTGGTTTCTCTCACGTGGATGATTGGCATCCAGAGTCCCAAGCGCGGGGGATGGGGTTTGCTGCGAGAAAGGTTGCTTTTGAGACGCAGAGGAGTTATGGAGTTAGGACTCAGGAACTAGGAAAAGCGTAACTCTCAAAGTCCTAGCCATGCCTGTCACCACGTGGAAGCGTGCCTCCCAGCTCTCCAAATGGTCTGAGAGTTGATTCAGTTCAACTTCGCAAGAACTCCGTCAAAAGGGAGGCACTCTTTCATTCTCCAGCTGTTTAGTTTCAACAGTACAACGAGATACACGTCAGAACCAAAACTTGTTGCCAGCTTTCTAGCTCCCTACCCTTCCGCCTCCACAGCAGCTTGACCATCTTATTGACCCCTCTTGGCCGTCAGAGGCAAATTCCCCTGACGTTTCAACCAGTTGCATGCAGTCACGGTCTACCCGGTAGGTACCTGTGGAGTAATTTCATACACTGCAAGGGCAACCAGTCATATGCAGCCATGTGTAAATCAGACCAGCAACTGAGCAGCCGTTGGTTGGTTGGTTCACATGCTGCAGCGACAAGCAATCCAATAGAGGAGCGGGGAGGAGTGAGGGGAGGAAGGGACGGGGCCAAGGGGAGGTGTTAAAGAGGGGGGGAGGGGAGAGGGAGAAAAGAGAAGGATAGATATACTCATCCTGTTTGCTATGACACATGTACGACAATGTTACGGAATATTGCCGAAGAACATACGATGGTCGACAGTGTTTGGGGTGGATTTGGGGGTTGGGGGTCATGGGGGAGGGGGTTGAGAGTCACGTGGGAGGGGGTTGAGGGGTGAATGCGGCGTGAGCAGAGCAAGGGAAGGTTGGGGGGAGAGGGGTAGATGAGAGGTGAACGGAGGGGGAGTGACAAATAGATCGACGGGGGGTGCGGTGAAGGAGTTAGGGATGTATGGGAGGGAACATGAGGGGTGACTGGATGGGGAGAAATGAGGGGTGAGTGAGGGGAAAGACGAGGGGAGGGAGGGGTGACGCAGGGTGGATGGGAGGAGGGATGTGGAGCGAGTGAGAGGGGAGAGGAGGCATGGTGGGGGGAGGGGATGAGCGGTGAACGAGACTGTGTTTGGGGGGAAACAGGGTTGAGGGGGAAGAAGGGGTGAGGGCGGGGACATAGGCGGAAATCGCAGGGAGATGAGGGGAGACGAGGGGAGATGAGGGGAGAGCGAGGATGCGGGACGAGCGAGAAGGGGAGGGGGAAGGAGGAAGGAATCGGAGGGGGTATGAGAGGTAAACAGGAGAAGAACTAGGGTGAGTCGGAAGAGTGACGAGAGGAGAGCGGGGGGGGGATGAGGGGAGGCAAACGGGACATGAGGGGAGAGCGGGGGGAGATGACAGGGAGAGCAAGGGGGTGGGGGGGAGCGGGCGGAAACGAGGAGAGAGCGGGGGAGATGGGGAGAGAGCGGCGGAGAGCGGAGGGGGATGAGAGTGAGACGCGGGGGGGATGAGGGTAAGACAGAGGGGAGGATGAGGGTGAGACGCGGGGGGGGTGAGGGATGCTTTTTCGGGACGAATGGGGGACGAGCGAGGGAGATGGGGGGATGGCGGAGGAGATGAGGGGAGAGCGGGGGAGATGAAGGGAGATCGGGGGGAGATGAGGGGAGAGCGGGGGGAGTCGAGGGGAGGGCGGGGGTTGCTAAGGAGAGAGCGGGGGAGATGTGGTGAGAGTGGGGAGAGGCGAGGAGAGGGGAGGGGGGGACAAGGGGAGCGCGGAGGGGATGACGAGAGAGCGAGGGGAGATGAGGAGAGAGGGAGGAGAGATGTGCGAGGGAAGATGAGGAGGGGGGAAACGGAGGGGTCTCAGCGACATGGTGTTTCGATATAACGTTCTCCATTACGCGAGGGCATGCAACATGCTCGCCAAAAGCAGAGGTTCGCGAGAGTGTGTAACAAAGTTCGTGAACCTCTCTTCTCCCTTACCCGCCCTGCCTCGCCGCCTCTTGCCAGTCTATTGCCTCCCTTCCATATTGAGTGCATCCCGTGCCTCCCTCCCTCTCATGTTTCCCCTCCCCGTTTCACATGTCTTGTGCAACGGTTCAGATCAGAGCGCTGCGCGTCGCTTGCCTAACGAGATCGACAGAGCCCGCAATGCCGACGCGCTCTCAAGTCGACGCCGATCAAGCGATGGCATGATAAGTATCCGCAAATCGACATTATATACGTCCGCAAGTCAATGCTCCCGCGGTTCGCAACCTAGAAATCGTTAGATCTTCCGACTACTGGCTGCTAATTTCACTTGAAACAGACACCATAACTCGCTCAGCTTCTAGACGTGGGAAGCGGCTTCTGGTACTAGCAGTTGGAAGCGGCAAAGCACTGAACCGATAGCAAGACTGAGATACATAAGTCTACGGCAAGCAGAGTCGAGGGTGAGCATTCAGCGCTAATCGGCGAAATGAAATCCAAGAATGTAATCGATCTTCCCAGCCTCGGCGATGAGCTGGACGGGGAATGAGCTGGAGGGTGGCGGATGAGGGCGAGAAACACCCCCCAATTCTATTGGCTCGCATGATCTTTTCTAAATCACCACTTTGTCATTTTCAGCTGCCCCGATCATATTCGCAAGGAACAAAAAGGAACTGCGAGAGCACCTGAACCTTCCGTTCACAAATCTAGTAACGATTTCAACGCAATCCCGCACTTCACGCACAATTTTCTCGCGAATACCCATAGTCGGGCTATAGATGTAAAATACGCATGCCACGTCACACCACCTCCTAAAAAAAAACCCTTTCCTGCCCCAGATCCAAGTCAACTGTACCCGATAGTCAGAGTGCCCGTCAACCCACAACACAATGATACGCGCCCTCAGCAGATTCGCTTATAGTTATATTCACCAAAACACATAACTTCACCAACCACCCACTGAACTGTACATTTGAAATTGGTTCAGGATACCGAGTCGCGTTGGGATGAGTTCGAAGGAACACATTTGGGCCACCTCAAGTTTTGAGTGCAACACTTTCTGACATTTTCTAGGCGAAAAATCTCTTGGCGGCGCCAGCCACCACACCACACCCTCCAACATATTCTCCACCGTCCATCCATCAGCCATCTGTTCATATTTTGCACACTACCTTGATATTGTAACGGCACCAGAGCCCCCGCGTTTGATCGCAGCGCACCGCACTCAGCGACTAACAGCGGCTATCGTCGACCAAAGCACATACACACATTCGAGTCGCCTTGAATTAACCATGGTGGGAAATTTCCAACATCTCCAAGGTGGAAAAATATCTGTGGTGGCGGCAGCCATCCGTTCATTATGAAGTCACCTCGTGTAACCCGCAAACTAGCCGCACCCTTTCCCGCGCTGTAGCAGCAGCGAAGGTCAACGGCAACTTGAGTCAGAGCGGGAATCATCGATGATTGAGATCATACTTCCTGAACCTTCATAGCTGCGACGCGAAAATAATCAGACGTGCCGCGCCGATTGCATAGCTCGCACCGCACCCAGAATTTTCCGAAACGGATGATCGATTTCATCGACAGTCTCCTACTCCCAGCCACCTTGTTTGATCGTTCCTTTCCTTCCACCAGAGGCACTACAAGTTCCTATCGTCAACTTCATTCTCGGATTAGAACCTTCCCTGTTATCCCGTCGGAAGGATTTTTCAGAGGAGCTCCGTCTCAATAATCTCCGACCCAGAGAGCTCCGTCTCAGTTAGCTCCGTCCCAATGAGCTACTGTGGATATCATGCGAGAAGCTCTATGGAGCAGTCTAAACTACACCATGAATCCACCCAAGCTAGTACAAGGGGATGGCCAAGGCAAGCAGCAGCGCGTCTTAGAGTCCGTGTAGGTTCGTGTAGGCGTTAGAGTTAGCTTAGAGTCTAGATTCGTGGGTGGGGTGGGTGGGTAGAGAGTCTAGAGAGCTGCTTGCAAGCCTTGGCCGGAACCTTGTACTATGCCCTGTTCTTCGCGGCGAGAACTACATCGCGAGAAAACTCCATTGGCAAGATCTCCACTGCAACAACTCCACCGCGAGAACTCCACCGCGAGAAGTTTACCACTGCAGTATCTTCACCGCGATTATCATCAAGAGATCTTCTCAAGATGAACTTCACGTTAAGAGCCTGGAAGACCGCATTCGACGATTCTGGCTTGAGTGATTCAGACGCGGACGCGGTCGTCTGCTTCGCCCGGCGCTTCTTCGTCGCCACGAGGAGACGATCTTCACTTCTGGCGGATGGGTTTAAACCCTTCGAGTAGAGGTAAGTCCAACGCCATGCTCATGTCTTTCGCAATAGTAATGTTTTTCCTGGATAAGAACTAACGTATTAACTTTATCCTGCAGGCAACCGCCTTGACGCATTCAAGCCCCAGAGCCTTCAAGCCAACGCGGTTCTACCGGACGTCGCTTCTCTCGTCGCATGGATCTGCTTCTCCTTACGCACGGCTCACGGCGCACGGCACCAACATGACGCACGGCCATGACGATTCAGTACGGCATTCGTCTCTTGAGGATCGATCTTCTTGGTTGAGTGGAGGTACGTATAAATTTCGTATTTTTTGCTCTACTCCTGCAGACGATCTTTCTTCTAGATCAAGAGCTTCTCGCATGGGCCTGCTTCGTCCTTCGCGCGCACCTGGCAAGGACAGAGGCATCCGTCGCACGGCGTATGCGGAGCGGTTGCCGCATCGCCCTTCATCTCCGTCTCCCTATCCTGGTAAGTATCGTCAATCTCAAATATTTTTGTGTTCTTTTTACTAATTTTTTCCTCTGTGATCTCTGTCTTGCTGCAGAAGGAGCTGGATGGGAAGCTGGCGGCAAGCAAAGGGATTAACGGAGTGGTCTCCCTCTCCTGGTGAGTAACATCAATTTCAGCTTGTACTTTGTTAACGATTTACTAACTATCTCTGTTGTGCGCTGTGTCTTGCTGCAGAAGGAGCGGGATATGAAGCTGGGAGGTGACGGCGAGCAAGGGAGTCACACGGGGAGAGCTCTCCCTCACTTGGTGAGTCTCGTTAATTTCAGTTAGTTTCGTATTCTTGTTACTAATTTTCTCTTTGTGTGATCTCTGTCTTGATGCAGAAGGAGCTGGATGGGAAGCTGGCGTCGAGCAAAGGGATTAACGGAGTGGTCTCCCTCTCCTGGTATGTAACATCAATTTCAGCTTGTACTTCTTTTACGAATCACTAATTATCTGTTGTGTTTTGTGTCTTAGTGCAGAAGGAGCGGGATATGAAGCTGGGAGGTGACGGAGAGCAAGGGAGCCACACGTTGACAACTCTCCCTCTCTTAGTGAGTCTCGTCAATTTCAGCTAGAATTTCTTTAGGTTTTACTAACTTTATATTTTGTGTCTTGTGTCTTAGTGCAGAAGGAGCGCGATCGGGAGGTGACAGGCGAGCAAGGGAGTCCCACGGGGAGAGCTCTCCCTCCCTTGGTGAGTCTCGTCAATTTCAGCTAGAATCTCTTTACGTTTTACTAACTCTCTTTTTGTGTGTTGTGTCTTAGTGCAGAAGGAGCGCAGGAGCTGACGGCGAGCAAGCGAGTCACACGGGAGAGCTCTCTTGGTAAGTATGGTCAATTTCAGCTTGTATTTCATTTACGATTTACTAACTTTCTCTTTCGTGTCTTGTGTCTTAGTGCAGAAGGAGCGCGATGGGGAGCTGACGGCGAGCATGAGAGTCCCACGGGGAGAGCTCTCCCTCCCTTGGTGAGTTTCGTCAATTTCAGCTAGGATTTCTTTACGTTTTACTAACCTTCTCTTTTGTGTCTTGCGGCTTAGTGCAGGAGGAGCGCGATCGGGAGCTGACGGCGAGCATGGGAGTCCCACGGGAAGAGTTCTCCCTCTCTGGTGAGTCTCGTCAATTTCAGCTAGAATTTCTTTACGTTTTACTAACTTTCTCTTTCGTGTCTTGTGTCTTAGTGCAGACGGAGCGCGATCGGGAGGTGACAGGCGAGCAAGGGAGTCCCACGGGGAGAGCTCTCCCTCCCTTGGTGAGTCTCGTCAATTTCAGCTAGAATTTCTTTACGTTTTACTAACTCTCTTTTTGTGTGTTGTGTCTTAGTGCAGAAGGAGCGCAGGAGCTGACGGCGAGCAAGCGAGTCACAGGGGGAGAGCTTCCTTGGTAAGTATGGTCAATTTCAGCTAGTATTTCATTTACGATTTACTAACTTTCTCTTTCGTGTCTTGTGTCTTAGTGCAGAAGGAGCGCGATGGGGAGGTGACGGCGAGCAAGAAAGCCACACGGGGAGAGCTCTCCCTCTCTTGGTGAGTATCGTCGATTTCAGATAGTTTTGTATTCTTTTTACTAATTTTCTCTTGTGTGATCTCTGTCTTGATGCAGGAGGAGCTGGATGCTGGGAGCGGGAGAAGGAGCGTGTGGTAAAAGCGTGAAGGAAGGTACACAAGAAGAGAACGCTCTCCTTCTCCTGGTAAGCACAGTCCTATTTCGTTCCGCGTTACTTCTTTTTCTAGATTTCTAACTTCGAGTTTCGTGGCTTTGTGAAGCAGGAGCGGGAGGAGGAGCACGTGGCAACAGCGGGAGGAAGAAGAATGCTCTCGCTTTCCTGGTAAGCGCGGTCCTATTTCGTTCGTTACTTCTTTTTTGATATTTTTAACTTCAAGTTCCGTGGCTTTGTGAAGCAGGAGCGGGAGGAGGAGCACGTGGCAACAGCGGGAGGAAGAAGAATGCTCTCGTTTTCCTGGTAAGCACGGTCCGCTTTGGTTCGTTTCATTTATTTCGAGATTTCTAACTTCGAGTTTCGTGCCTTTCGCGTTGCAGGAGCGGGAGGAGGAGAAGCGCAGGCAACACCTGGAGCAAGCGGGGGAGGTACGCGGCGAGCTGTCCCTCTCTTGGTAAGCATCGTCAGTTCAGTTTAGTATTCTGTTTACATTTTACTAAGTTTTTCTCTTGTGTCCTGTCTTAGTGCAGGAGGAGCAGGATGGGGAGCTGACGGCGGGTGAGGGGGATACGGAATGGTTTCCATCTACTGGTAAGTTCGCCTGTGTTACCTCGTTTGGTCATCAGTCTTCTGTTTTAGCCCTTTAGCGACTATCTGTTTTCTGTTACCTAACGTTTTTTCCTTGCCATTGCCTTTTAAATGCAAAGGGAGCAGGAGCAGGAGCAGGGAGCACGGGCAACACCTGGAGCGGGCGGAGGAGGTACACATGGCGAGATCTCCCTCTCTGGTAGGTATCATCAATTTAAGTTACCATTTCGTTTACGTTTTATCAAGTTTCTCTTATGTGTTTTGTCTTAGTGCAGGTTGAGTGCGGCGGCTGGCGATGGGGAGCTGGCGGCGAGCAAGGGGGTAAACTGAGTGGTCTCCCTTTTCCTGGTAGGTTCCGTCATTTTCATTTTTTTTTCCTTCCTTATCATAACACTAACGTCATGTGTTGGTTCTGTTTTGTGGGCAGCATGATCGGGCGAGGTGCGCGGGGCAAGGAGGTTCGAGCTTGGAGCAACCAGCCCTGTAAGTGGGTCTGGGCCCTGGGTCCTTGGGTGGTTAGGTTAACGTTAGGAGCGTTAGTCAGATCAGAACGTTAGGGGCGTTAGTCAGATCGTTAAGCTCGTATTAGGCTTAGCTAGGCGACGCATTAGCCTTAGCTAGGCTCGGTTCTGGGTTACGGTCTAGTCTAGACCTAGGTTCGAATTAGCTAGGACGTTAGGTTCGGAAGGTCAGGTGCGGTTGGACGTGGTTGAGATCAGTTGGGATTGTCTTCGATATTCCCTCTCTTCCTCGCGGTGGTCAACCTGGTGGTCAATGTGCTGCCCTGTATATAATTTTAACCGCCCCCCTCCTTTCTGCCCTGTAAATAAGTCCGCTCCCTCCCCAACAGGCATTTGCCTCAACGGCCAAGAGGGGTCAAGAAGACCAAGAACCAAGAAAGGCGAGCAGCTGGGATCTGCAGATACTGTGGTTGACACTTAGGGATCCTAGGGATCTTAGTAAGCACTTTAACTCTGTATTCAGTTATATAAGTATCTCTGTCTTTTACGACTATAAGTGACTTGGCAAGTAGACGAATATGCAAGGAAATGAAACGAACCTTTTCTCGGGCTGTGCAGAAAACAAACCCTGGCAGAGTTCAGGCAGAATAGAACCACCCCACACAGCGCGTGCACCGTAGCTTGTTTCGATCGCGCTTTCAGTCGTATTTCATTAGGGTGCGTTTTTATCCCGTGTCAGACTTCAGGTCAAAGCTTCGGAAGACACCAAGTGACTCGGTTTGTGTCTTCCGAACCTAAATTTGCCAGCATTCCGAGTCCCTTTGGGTCTTCCCAACCTCAACTTCGTGTCTGGCTTCGTGTCTGACAAGGGATAGAAACGCGCCCTTATTCTCCCGTTCACACATCCAGTGCGGTAACTACTGTGGAATCTTAATAGGATACTGTTATTTGCTCTCTCCAGATTTGCGGCAGTGGTGGTAAGATGATTTTTGTAGCTCATGTATTCGCGAAGTAAATAGACACGTACGTCGAAGTTCGGAGTATCAGCGTCGACTTGCGGCCACATTCGAAAAGATTATTTATTGACGCTATGTTGAGTCGGATTCTTTATTTTTATTTCTTCGTATGCGAAGACCTTTTGTAACGTTTATTCAGGGAGGCATATTGCGCAAACGCATGATACGAACCCTGACCGTTGCGCAAGACAGCGGAAAAAATGGATTTCGGGAGGGAGACTGGCGAAAGTCCTGATTGGGGCGCGTAAGGGGAATCAGAAAGGAGAGGATTGCCGAGAGGTGACAGGCGGAGTGGCCTATTTCTCCTGATTTTTCCTTTTTCCCTCCCTGCGCTTTCCTTCCCCTTGCCCCTCCTCCCCTGACCTTGCCTAGAAACCTCCCGCATCCCTTATTCCCACCTCTCTCCCTTCGTGACCCCCAAGCTCTCTCCTCATTTCCCCCGCTCTCCTTTCATCTCCCCGCTCCCCCCCTCCCCTCTCCCTGCACTCGCCTCAATTCCCTGAGTGCACCGCTTATCGTCCCGCGCGCACTTGCTGCCCCCTTTTTGCATCCCCCTCCCCCCCTCTCCCCCCTCCTCAATCTCCCCTCCCCTCCACTCACCCCTCGTTCCAGCCCTCTCCCCCTCCTCTCCCCCCACCCCCACTCACTCCTCATCTCCCTCCCCCCCCTCCCCTCCCCCTCCCACCGTCCCCCCCATCACCCCTCATTTCCCTCACCCTCCTCCCCTTTTTATCTCCGTCCTAACCGTCCCTCATCCCCCCGTCCTCCCCTCCGCTTTCCCCCTCTCACCCCTCGTCTGCCCCCACCCATTCACACACCATTCGCATCCCCCATCCATCCCTCACTCCAGGCATACCCCCTCTTCCCCGTCTGCTCCTCCCCCAAACCTCTCATTCCACCTCCACTCACCCCTCACCTCCTCACTGCTCTCCTTCAATTCCCTCCACACCCCTCTCCCGCTCGTTCCCCCTTCTGCCCCCCTCCCTCCCCCAACCAGGGTTCTTGTCCCTTCCCCTCCCTAAAACTCTCACCTCTGCTGCTACTTGTCTTTGCTCCTTCTCCTTCTCTTTCAGTATGGTACCGTACTTGCTTTAGCTATGTACTTGCATCAGTCGCGTCAGCGAAATTGACTTCTGAGTCGACTTAAAATTCACCTCGTAACAATGGCACAAACTCCTCCTTTTCTTTCGGTATGGTACCGTACCTGCTTTCACTAGGTACTTACATCACTAGCGTCAGTGAATTTCTTTGGCTTTGAGGCTGCTTGCTTACACCTGAACCCTCAGCGGTTCTCTGTGAGGTTTTGCCAAGCGATGGGAGCCTGATCTGGATGGTTAATACTATGCTGCTGCTGGTTTCTTACAAATGTCTTGATGCACGCTGTTGCACCGTCTCTCCTCTCCCTGTGTTTCTCTCCGCTACGGTCGTGGCAATGGGGGAGGGGAGGGGAGAGCTGTTGGGGAGGTTGTTTGAAGCTGGGGGGACGGGGTTTGCTGGGGGAAGCGGGAGGCTTGCCATGCTATAACGGTAGTACTGTTTTGCCAAGAGATGGAAGGCTGTTGTGGACGGTTGATTTGATACGGAGGCGCGTGTGGGTAATTTGCATTGCCTGGATGTTTGAAGAAGGGAGGTTGGGGAGAATCTTGCACATGGTTGGGATTGACAATTGATAGGTGCTTTGGATGTTTGGTGCAGAGTAGCTTAAGCTGGGTGACAAATCAATGTGGTGTTATCTCTGTGCTTCTTTTGTTACGCTAAACATACCTACAATCATTCAAGTCATTTTGAGGCACTATTTCCACCAACGCTATGGTGCATATCTGCTTGAGTAACCACACATCGTTGTGCACACTGGAGCCAATAAAAATGATTTCTTTGAATTCACCCCGAACACACACAATAAACAGGAGGTACACTTTGTTCCACACACTGTGTTTTGTCATGTCACCACTCGGCACCATACCGCCCTTTCACAGCTATACAGCATGCGCTATCCTGTGTTAAGGTTGCGCGTGAGTCTAGTTGCCGGTGATCCATGGGTGACCTGCAGAGACGTGACACAGCACAAAAGGGGCAAAGGAGGGTTGGGGCAAGGGGGATTGTTGAGTAAAACAGAAGAGACAGCATGTGCTATCCTGTGTTGGGGTTGCATGTGAGTCTAGTTGCCGGTGATCCATGGGTGACCTGCAGAGACGTGACGCAGCACAAAAGGGGCAAGGGAGATTGTTGAGTAAAACAGAAGAGACAGCATGTGCTATCCTGTGTTGGGGTTGCATGTGAGTCTAGTTGCCGGTGATCCATGGGTGACCTGCAGAGACGTGACGCAGCACAAAAGGGGCAAGGGAGATTGTTGAGTAAAACAGAAGAGACAGCATGTGCTATCCTGTGTTGGGGTTGCATGTGAGTCTAGTTGCCGGTGATCCATGGGTGACCTGCAGAAATGTGACACAACACAAACGAGAGCAAGGGAGGTGGGGAAGGGATCGGGTGGGGCAAGGAAGAGAGGGGACAGATGGTCACAGACAGAGGGAGGTTGCTAGGACTGCCAGTGCGACTGCACCAAATGAAAGGTACCAGGTATGGGGTATGGGGGTGGGGAGGGGCCACGTAACAGGCCGCAATCTCCCACAGGTAATTTGCCTCCTGTCTCTACTCCCACTCACACTAACTTCTTCAAGAGTAACCCTCACCAAATCCTCTGCCTCAAGAGTCAGCTTTCAGAAGTTTCAAAAGACTCAAACAGAACCTCTTCAAGAGTGATTCTATCACGAGGGTCCCTCGTCAGCAGCCGCCGCACCAGGTCCTTCGCCCCGGGAAACACTCCTGAGACATGCTCACAAGTGACTCACACACACTCTCATACACTCACGTACACTCCCACAGAGCCCCATGCTTCATCATTAACTCACATAGAACCTCCTCAACGGCGATTCTATCACGTTGGTCCCTTGTCAGCAGCCGCCACACCAGGTCCTTCGCACCGGGGAAAACACGTATCAGAACGATTAAAAGACTCACACAGAACTTCTTCAAGGGTGATTCTATCACGCGGGTCCCTTGTCAGCAGCCGCCGCACCAGGTCCTTCGCTCCGGGAGACACTCTCGGCCACGGCGGTAACCGCAAGGCCCTGTCCACGTGGCACTCCATGATTCGCTCGAACGTCTCCTCCTTGGAGGCGCCTCGGAAGGGCACGACCCCCGCGAGGAGGAAGAAGAGCACACAGCCGAGGGACCAGACGTCGACTGTGTGGGAGTAGGAGTGCTGCAGCATTTCTGGAGCTATAAACGCGGCTGACCCCACTGTCTCCCTGCAGGACACACCTGGAGATTTGCAGGGAGGGAGGAGGGGTGGGGAGCGGTGGACAGGGTTGGCTGGGATGGGCTGGATTGGGTGGGAGGGAAGAAGAGCACGCAGCCGAGGGACCAGACGTCGACTGTGTGGGAGTAGGAGTGCTGCAGCATCTCCGGTGCTATGAAGGCTGCTGACCCCACCGTCTCCCTGCAGGAGACGCCTGGAGGAGGGGGGGGCAAGGGCGGGGGCAAGGGCGGGGAGAGAAGCAGGGCTGGTTGGTTGGGAGGAAGAAGAGCACGCAGCCGAGGGACCAGACGTCGACTGTGTGGGAGTAGGCGTGCTGCAGCATCTCCGGTGCTATGAAGGCTGCTGACCCCACCGTCTCCCTGCAGGAGACGCCTGGATGTGGGGAGGGGAGGAGGAAGGGGGGAGAATAAGGGGAGGCGCGAGGGGGATGTTATCCGGCTTCACATCGCGACGCATCACCCCACACCCGTGGCACTCCTGCTTTTGAGTCGACTCAAAAGCTTCACATCGCGACGCATCACCCCACACCCGTGGCACTCCTGCTTTTGAGTCGACTCAAAAGCTTCACATCGCGACGCATCACCCCACACCCGTGGCACTCCTGCTTTTGAGTCGACTCAAAAGCTTCACATCGCGACGCATCACCCCACACCCGTGGCACTCCTGCTTTTGAGTCGACTCAAAAGCTTCACATCGCGATGCATCACCCCACACCCATGGCACTCCTGCAGAGGCCCCCATGCACCACTCCCATCCCATACAAGCAGTTCTCACCTTGCTGGAAGAAGAGGGATATTCCAAAGTCGGCGAGTTTGACGTAGGTATCATCCCCGCGCCGCACGAGGAGAATATTATCCGGCTTCACATCGCGGTGCATCACCCCACACCCGTGGCACCACTGCAGCGCCGCCGCCACTCCCTGACAAACCGCCGCCGCCCGCCGCTCGTTCAAGGGGCCTTCGTTCCGGACGGCATGCTGCAGTGTGCCGCCCTCACAGAGGTCGAGGATGAGGTAGATGGCCTGGGAGAGGGGGAGAGAGATGGGGAGGGAGACAACGGGGAGAATATCTGAGAGGGAGCAAACAATGCCCCAGAAGCCTTGATTGCCGATGGCATGCTGCAGTGTGCCGCCCTCACAGAGGTCGAGGATGAGGTAGATGGCCTGGGGGATGGATAGAAGCAGAGGGCAAGAAGGGGGGATAGGTGAGGATGCGCCTTCTAACATCTCTCCACAATCCTTGGTTTCAGACGGCCTGCTGCAGCGTGCCTCCCTCACAGAGATGGAGGACGGTGTAGATGGGTGGACGAGGGTGATGGGATGGGATGGATGAGGAGGGGAGGGGATATGAAGGGAGATTCGAGAGCTCCAAAGTCTTGCTTCTAGATGGCCTCCTGCAGTGTGCCGCCCTCACAGAGATCGAGGATGAGGTAGACGGCCTGGGGGTTGAAGTGAGGGGAAGGACGGGGGGAGGAGGGATTTGAAGGGGAGATGCAAACAGGGGCAAAGTCTAACAGCGCCCCAGAACGCTTGGTTCCGGACGGCTTGCTGCAGTGTGCCGCCCTCACAGAGGTGGAGGATGAGGTACCTAGCCTGGGGGGAGTGGGGTTGGGGGAGAGATGGGGGGATGACAGGGAACATATATCGGGCGCCAGATTCAAGAGTGGGATGCAAGGGACGGAGACAAGAAGGAGGGATACGACTGACACCCACCTGCTCATCTCGTCCTCTATCGTCTCCACGAGTTGCACAATATGAGGATGCCCTCGCACCGTGTCTAATGCCGCCACCTCGTTCATCACTAGTACCACCCACTCTCCTCTCACCCCTTACCCACCTGCTCGTCCTCTATTGTCTCCACCAGTTTAACAATATGGGGATACCCTTGCACCGTGTCTAATGTTGCCACCTCCACCACGATTCACCTGCCTAGTAGCACCCACCTGCTCGTCCTCCACTCTTTCCATGAGTTGAACAATATGAGGGTGCCCTCGCACCGACTCCTTTTGAGGCGCCTCAAAAGTGAACAATATGAGGGTGCCCTTGCACCGACTCCTGCGTGCCACCTCGTTCATCACTAGTACCACCCACTCACCTCTCACCCCTTACCCACCTGCTCGTCCTCTATTGTCTCCACCAGCTGCACAATATGGGGATACCCGCGCACCGTGTCCAGCGCCGCTACCTCGTTCATCACGTCTTCTATTGTCTTCCAGCACAGCGCCCATCTCCCCCTCCTCTACACTCTCACCCAGCACCCACCCACCTGTTCATCCTCTACTGTCTCTTAAAGCACCCATTTGCGCCTCCTCTACCCTCACCCCAGTCACCCACCTGTTCATCCTCTATTGTAATTTGTTTCCACGAGCTGCACGATGTGGGGGTGGCCTCGCACTGAGTCCAGCACCGCCACCTCATTCATCACGTCCCCTACTGTCTCATAGCAGCACCCATCTCCCCCTCCTCTATCCTCACCCAAAGCACCCACCTGTTCGTCCTCTATGGTCTCCACGAGTTGCACAATATGGGGGTGCCCGCGCACCGTGTCCAGCGCCGCTACCTCGTTCATCACGTCTTCTATTGTCTTCCAGCACAGCGCCCATCTCCCCCTCCTCTACACTCTCACCCAGCACCCACCCACCTGTTCATCCTCTACTGTCTCTTAAAGCACCCATTTGCGCCTCCTCTACCCTCACCCCAGTCACCCACCTGTTCATCCTCTATTGTAATTTGTTTCCACGAGCTGCACGATGTCGGGGTGGCCTCGCACTGAGTCCAGCACCGCCACCTCATTCATCACGTCCCCTACTGTCTCATAGCAGCACCCATCTCCCCCTCCTCTATCCTCACCCAAAGCACCCACCTGTTCGTCCTCTATGGTCTCCACGAGTTGCACAATATGGGGGTGCCCGCGCACCGTGTCCAGCGCTGCCACCTCGTTCATCACGTCCTCTGCATCATCCTCGCTCTGATGTGAAGTGCCACGGCACCATCCATCCATGCATCCAAACACATGCCATGCCATGCCATGCATCCAAACACATGCCATGCCATGCCACGCCATGCCATGCCGATGCCGTGACACATGCCATGCCCCCCGTGCCATAACATCACACATGCCACTCCCCATGCCATGCACCATGTCATGCACGCACACACCATTCCAGGGCGCAATTTAGATTGAGATAAAGAAGCGCGAAGGAACAGGCAAAATAGAAAAAAGAAAAAAACTGTGATAGATGACAGCCTTATGACAATAATCTTCTCACCATGATGTTTGCCCTTCTTAATCACTTTGCACGCATTGATTCCCTCCTCATACACCCTTCCTCACCAACTCACCATGATGTTTGCTTTCTTGATCACTTTACACGCCATATACTCTCCTGTCCGCCGCTCCCGACACACCACCACATCCCCAAAGTACCCCCTCCCCAGCACCTCCCCCACCATCTCATATCTCTCCTCCACCCGCTCCAACGGCCGGCCTATCACGTTCCGCCACCTGTCCGCCGCCCGTGCATCATTACCGCTGTTTATCTCCTCCTCACCCATCCCAACCCCCATCTGCTGCCTCTGTTCCCCATGCCCCCCCCCGCCACGCCTCGAATCCCACCCCTGCTTCGGAGGCGCCTCGAAAGCCGCTCGTTGTGCCCCGAACGCTTTCTGAGGTTGCTCATAGGAAGCCTGGCATTCCTGCTGCTCGTGCCCCATGCCATGACTCATGTCACTCCCCATTATGCCATGATGCCCTGCTGCTGCCATCATACCTAACCCATAGGGAGTTTGGCATTCCTGCTGCTCGTGCCCCATGCCGTGACTCATGTCACTTCCCATTCTACCATGATGCCCTGCTGCTGCCATCATGCCTACCCCATAGGGGGTATGGAATTCCTGCTCATGTCCCATGCCATGGCTCATATCGCTCCCCATCCGGCCATGCTGCGGATGCGCTGTTGCTGCCACCATCCCAACCCCATGCTCCATGCCATAGCCCATGCCTTGGCTCATATCGCTCCCCATCCTGCCATGATTGCCTGTTGCTGTCATCATTTCAACCCCATGCTCCATGCCATAACCTGTGCTTTGCCCCATCCCTTGCCCCATCCCTTGCCCCATGCCTTGCCCCATGCCTTGCCCCATGCCGTGATGACGTGGCGATGAGGCCGAGTAGTATGCTGGAGGCATGTGATTGGCCGGTGATGCATGTTGTTGCATGCCGGCATAATGGGGCGGGGAGACGTGATTGGGCGGCGGGAAGACGCGATCGGCCGGTGGCGACACGTGGTGGGGCGGCATGCAGATGTTACTGGGCGGCGACACATGGTGGGGCGGCATGCAGATGTTACTGGGCGGCGACACATGGTGGGGCGGCATGCAGATGTTACTGGGCGGCGACACACGGTGCGGGGTGGAGATTTGATTCGCATGATGATGTGGCGGCGACACGAAGCTCAGATTGTGTGGCAGGGCATGTTCCGAAGCTGATGCCAGCTGGGCGGCATGCTTGCCGTGATCTAACGACTGAGATCGCTTGTACTGCTCCCTCTGACGGTCGAAAATTTCCCCGTCGTCCTGTTCCTGCTGCAAAGGCTGCTGCAGTTGCAGCTTCTTCTTAATCTTCTTCACCTTCTCAACCTTCCCCTCCTTTTCCTTCCCTTCCTTCTCTTTCCCTTCCTTCTCCTTCCCCTCCTTCTCCTTCACCTGCTTTTTCACCTTTACTACTTTCTTCCCCTTGCCCTCCTTCCCTTCCTTCCCTTCCTTCCCCTCCTTCTCCTTCTCCTCCTTTACTTTCTTCTTGACCTTCTTAACCTTCTCACCCTTGACTTTCCCCTTCTTGCCCTTCCCCTTCACCTCCTCCTCCCCATCCTGCGCCATCCCACCACCTAACTCCCTGAAAGCACCACTCACCCCTCCAGCTCCATTCATCCCTCCCCCCTCCTGCCCACCCACCCAAGATCGCCTTTCCTCCTCCCCCTCCTCCACCTCCCACGCCCTCTCGCCTGACTCATCTCTTCCTTGCTCCTTAAACCCCTGTGCGTGTGAGTAAGAGTTTCTTTCCCTCATCCCATGCTCCCGCCCGTTCACATCGAGGGCTATGGCATCTGCAGCTACAGCTATCGCAACATCATCATCATCATCAGAATCATCATCGTCTTCCTCCTCCTCCTCATCATCCAAATCACGATGCTCCTCCTCCTCCTCCTCCTCCTCTTCTCCCTCCCCTTCCCCCCTCTCGCCTTCTCTTCGAATTCTCCCCACATCCTCACCACTGTACACCCCGTCTCCATTATAACCCTTACTCCTATTGTAACCCTCATTCTGATTGTAAGACTCGGTCCTATCAAAGCTCTTGCTGTCATTGAAACTGTCGTCCTCGTTATAAGCATGGTTGTTAGAGTCATTGTACCGATCGCCCTCGTTGTACCCCCCATTGTCTGCTGCCCTAAACCCATTTTTCCTGTAACCGCCATCTGGATACCCCTCTTCTTGCGCCTGGTGCTGCTGCCTTCGCTGTTCTTGCTGCTTCCCTTGCCCTAACCCTTGCTCTCTCTCTCTCTGTTGCCCCCACTCGTCCCTTTCTTGCCGACCCCACTTATCCTTCTCTTGCTGCTCCTCCCATAAATTCCTTTCCTCATAATCCTTCTCCTCCTCCTCCTCCCATAATCTTCTTTCTTTCTCATCCTCTTCCTCCCCCAACTTTACCTCCTGCTGCTGCTGCTGCTGCTGCTGCCCGTGCCTCTTCTGCTGCTTCTCCGTTGGCTGCTCTTGCCACCCATCTCTTTCCTCATCCCCCATGCCCTCCTCCTCCTCCCATAAATCCCTTTCCTTATTCCCCTTCTCCTCTTCCTCCTCCCATAAATCTCTCTCTTTCTCCACCTCCTCCACCTCCTCCTCCTCCACCTCCTCCTCCTCCACCTCCTCCTCCTGCTTCTGCAATCGTTGGACCGGCCTCTGTTTTTCCTTAGTCGAATTTCTTGCAAGAGCAGGGGGTGTGGCTACTGGAAAAACATCCTCCTCCTCCTCCTCCTGCTCCTCCTGCTCTTCCTCCTCCCTCTCATCCTTCCCTATCTGTCCCTCTATCCCCTCCCTCCCTTCCCTCCCTCCCCTCTCGTCCCTCCCGTCCCTCCCCTCTCTCCCCTCCTCCTCACCATACTCATCCCCATACTCATCCCAACCCCCATCCGATCTCGAGTCACGCTCTGCAGAGCTCCCATCCCGCCCTGCCATCCTGCTACGAAAATCCTCGTTATAAGGCGACCTGAAAGGAGATTCCGCACCGTAATGATCGTCATCGTCAAAATCACCATAAAGGTCATCGTTGCCAGCTGTCGCCGCGTGACTGGCCCCACCGAATCCTCTGCTCCCCTTGGCAAAAGCCGAAGCTGCTTCCCCTCTGTCGTCCCTCTCTCCTCCATCACTCTCCCCCTCTCCGTTCCCCTCCTCTCCCCATTCCTTGTCCCCCTCCTCCTCCTCCTCCTCCTCCTCCTCCTCCTCCTCCTCCTCCTCCTCCTCCTCCTCCTCCTCCCCTCCCTCACCACCGTATTCCCTCTCTCTCCTCCCCTTACTCTCATCCTTTCTTCGGTAACCCTCTTCCTCCTCTCCTTCCTCCTCTCCTACCTCCTTTCTCCTCTCGTCCAACTCCTCCCCATAGAGCGCTCTTTCCTCCTCCTCAACCTCATCTTCCTCCCCTCCGCGTGCCTGCACTCTCCCCCTCTCCTGCCCCTGCTCCCCCCCTTCATTCCGCCAACCCCCATCCTCACTCGCCTCCTCCTCTTCTCCTACCATATCCTTCGCACCCTCCTCTCCTCTCCCTCCCCTCTCCTCCTCATCCACTTCGTCCCTGCTGCCTCTTCTCCACTCCTCATTCCGCGGCTGCACCAGCTGCTGTTGCTCCAGCTGCTGCTGCTGCGCCTGCTGTTGCGCCTGCTGCTTCTTTTTCCCTGGCGTCTTAGCCCCATCCCCGCTACTCGTTACAGTGCTATCTCGCCCAAAGCCCAGTCCCTTAGGCAGCAGCCTCAGCGCCTTGGCATATACACCCTCCCCCACATGCAACCCCCTCCGGTCCTCAGAGTGAGACCGCCGCAACCCTAGCCCCTCACCCTCCTCCTCACGCTTCTTTCCCTTCCCCCCTCCCCCTCCCGCTCCTGCTCCCCCCTCCCCCGACGCTCCCCCTGCTCCGCCACCCCCGGGGCTCTGCCCCCCCACTCCGCCTCCCCCCGCGCCCCCCTTCCCCGCCTGCTGCGGCTTCCCCACAGCGCTCTTAGAGCGCACCAGCCGCCGCTCTACAGACGTCTCTAGCAACGCTTTCGCCTTCTCCACGCCTCGCCCCCCTCCCCCCGCCTTCCCGCCTTTCCCGCTAGCCCCGCTCTCTACCCGGCCCTTTTCCTTAGCTTTCTTACCCGGGGTGGCCTTTTTAGAGTCTAGAGGAGGAGGGGGTTTGCTGCTCCCCCAATCCTGCGAGTGGGAATTCGGGTTTCTCCCATATCCTAAACTCTTTTCAGCCGTATGTTCTGTCCAACGTGGCGGCAATCCCTTGGTCGCTGCGCCGCTCCCTGCGCTACACGATCCTGGGAATGCTGACGTGGCAGGCTTGACTAATGAAGGGTCTAAACCACCAGCGCTGTTAAATGGGGTTGCGCCGGGGGGAGGGAGAAAGTACACGTCAGCACCGTCGCACTCGGATCGGCGAAACCAGGCGACGACTTTAACGGTCGACCTAGCGATCTCGTGCTCAATTTCTGCCAGTTCTGCTGCCGAGAATTGCGGGTAGTCGTCGGAACTTGATTGGTGGCTCCGCGATCGGTTCATTCTCATTGGTCCCTGGCCCTGACCTTGATTCTGTGCCCGGGAATAACACTGATTGGTTCCGCCTTGTCCCTTCATATAGGCGGGAGAGCCGCGCATATCTGCGGAAGGGTTGCGCATCTCGGCGGACGACGTGCGCGTATCCGCGGAACAGTTCCGCGAGTCCACGGCTGGCGGAGCCCCCTGGGAGCGGGTTCGGCGGAAGTCCCCCGAGTCGAGGCTAGAATACCGCGGTACTGCTACGACTCGCTTCGACATTATGACAATTAGATGTAACAGTGTAACTCGCTAAGTCTATTTTAAACGTCACTGTAAACGAGGCTGGAATACAGCTGAGCTGTTGCCAATCGGTTCGCCACCATGGCTATCGGAATGCAAAATGTTACGAGGTTGCTGACAACGTCACCTTGCGAAGGAATCTGATAGCGACATTGCATTGTCACACCTTGTCAACGTAATGGCTATAGTCGAAGTTAGCTCACGGATAAATAGTATGCCAATAACGCGACGAGGCCCAGAGTCTCCAATTTAAAAGAGTTAGCGCACGCGCTCTTTGACACTACATACGAATACTACTCACAGCGATACCCTGACTTACGATCATGACATGCACTGAGACCACCCATGAGGATGTTTGAAGCTAGCTAATAATCGTCTATGACTTCCGCAAGGGGAAGCCCAAGCAGAACGTCCTAGATAAGTAGGTTCGTACGTTTTTACTTACGGAATGTCCCTCCACTCAGCTCATGCGATATATCGCTTTCGCTCAACACCCAACCTAACCGTTTTCAAATACAGAAGTCCACGTAAAACAACTCACCGAGCTGGCTGGTTACGGGAGTGAAATGAACACTTTATCCATGATGACTAGCACTTGTCCGTGCCCCATCAGTGAGCCCATCGGCAATGACGAGGACTCATCCAGGCCTAAAAACTGCAGCAAATTCCGAAGTGGGTCGCATTCAAGGTGTGACGAATTGTAGGAATTGACAACTGGAGGATGTCACGGAAAAAAAAATATGCTGCTGCGCTCTTCTCCTTTTCTGAGTAAGGCATTCAAATTTCATGGATTGCTGCCGGAAAACCCAGTAATGAAATGGTAGCTGAAAGTGATACGTTAGCAATTCACAATTTCATACGCGCTCTATTAGAGAACACCTCGTACCCAACTCCCTGGCTCGCTCCGCTCTTGTCTCAACTGGTTACCATTCAATGCGATTTGGAAGCTGAATTCAACGACAAGCTACGAAAGACAATTCTCGAATGTAGTGACTGTCGCATATGGATGATCCTCCCAAGCAACAGTCAGGTTGTTGGGAGTTTGTCCGCTTTCCCATTTGCAGTGTGCTGCGCTGCGAGGCCAAGGCCCTGGGAATGACGTGGCAGGTGTGATGGCAGTAGATGTCCCACAACACCCAGCATTTTCCGCATGATACAGGCTCCGTATTATTTTCACCTCAGGCCTTCACATAATGATTTTCTAGGGCGGGACATAATGTTTCGTTATACAATGGAGCGCTAAAGAGTTGTTATTGTTTCCAGCACTACCATCAACACCTGTCTTGACAGCAGATTTGAGCACCAGTTCTCATCCCACAAAAAATAATGTAAAGCATTTTAGTGAGACAGCATTAAGCTAATCACTTGCAAGGTAAATCATACCCTGCGTTCCTCTTTAGTCATCCAACCAATAATGCTAGACAATTTGACACACGAAAGCTAGCCCAAACGAGCAAACTTATTAGTCACAGTTTTCCACCCATCCCTACTGCAATACCCGTCATCTCGGATCAAATATGCTCCACGGCACATGACATTCAGGAATCACTCGTCGTTGGAATCAGCAAACTTGATTAAGTGGCTCTCCTGGTCGATGATCCCGCCCCTGTAGGACTTTTGAGGCGCCTCTAATGCTCTGAGGCACATGACATGCGATTACTCGTCGTCGGAATCGGCAAACTTGATGGAGTGGCTCTCCTGGTCGATGATGCCGCCCCTGTAGCTGCCCCTCTTCTTCTTTGTCTTCTCATGCCGGAACCCCCTGTGGTAACCGCGTGTTACAGGTGCCATGGGAACACCAAGAACAAGAAACAAGCATTCATTTCGTGTGTTGGACAAAACAAGACAAGCGACAGCACAGCGTCACACGACAACAGCACAATTACACAAGACTACATTGTGTATACATTATGATGTTATCACTTGCCCCTGCCATGTCTCTGTTGTTCTCACTTGCCCCTGCCATGTCTCTGTTGTTCTCACCCGCCCCTGCCATGTCTCTGTTGTTCTCACCCGCCACTGCCATGTCTCTGTTGTTCTCACCCGCCACTGCCATGTCTCTGTTGTTCTCACCCGCCACTGCCATGTCTCTGTTGTTCTCACCCGCCACTGCCATGTCTCTGTTGTTCTCACCCGCCACTGCCATGTCTCTGTTGTTCTCACCCGCCACTGCCATGTCTCTGTTGTTCTCACCCGCCCCTGCCATGTCTCTGTTGTTCTCACCCGCCACTGCCATGTCTCTGCTGTTCTCACCTGCCCCTGACTTGACCCAGCACCTCCTGGGCCTTGGCGGCCCATCCACTTCCCGCCCCGCTCTGCTTGTTCTCACCTGCCCCCCCCCCCCCCCCCCCCACCCCCATGTCTCGGATCTCTCACCTGTTCCCCACCCCCATGTCTCGGATCTCTCACCTGTTCCCCACCCCCATGTCTCGGATCTCTCACCTGTTCCCCCCCCCCCAATGTCTCGGATCTCTCACCTGCCCCTGACTTGACCCAGCACCTCCTGGGCCATGGCATCCCATCCACTTCCCGCCCCGCTCTGCTTGGCACAAGCACACGTGGCATGGGAGGGACACATGGCATGGGCATGATGGACGTGAGGCAGCAAACGCGGATGAGAAAAGCGGGGAATGAAAACAGCAGGACACGTGGCATATGGGAGGGACACGTGGCATATGGGAGGGACACGTGGCATATGGGAGGGACATGTGGCATATGGGAGGGACACGTGGCATGGGAGGGACACGTGGCATGGGAGGGACACGTGGCATGGGATGGATTAGGCACATACAAGAACGAGCTATCACCTTGGTCCAGTACGAGTTATCCATGAGCCGGGGGTTCTTCAATTCAATTGCACCACCACGGCTATTCAGCCGCCCTCGTTTCACTCGCTCACCACCTTTAGCCGCCCGTCCCTCCATGCCCCAACAACCATAACACCCACCTTGGCCCCAGTACGAGTTATTCATGAGCTGAGGGTCCTTGAATTGCACCTGAGCCAACACACATGCCACATCCCTTCATATTCAAACACGCATGCCCCAACACGCATGCCCCAGCCTCTCACCTTGGCCCAGTACGAGTTATCCATCCATGAGGCGGGGATCTTTGAGTTGCACCTGCAGGGGATAGCACATCACACGCGTAGACAGGGCACACGCAGGGCGCGAGGGGAAGGAGGGTGGGGGGGTGGGGGGGGGGGGGAGGAAGAACGTGGAGCGCAGGAGAGCAGGTATGGCAGAGAAGAAAGGGAGCTGATGAGCGGGTGGAGGGTGGTACTGGGTGGTGAAGCATGCAGAGAGAGCGAGCGAGCGAGGAACGCTGCTCAGGGCAGTAAAGTGGAATAAATGATGTGCAGGTGCAGGGTGGTTCTGGGTGGTTCTGGGTGGTGAAGCATGCAGGGAGAGAGAGCGAGGAACGCTGCTCAGGGCAGTAAAGTGGAATAAATGATGTGCAGTAAAGTGGAATAAATGATGTGCAGTAAAGTGGAATAAATGATGTGCAGTAAAGTGGAATAAATGATGTGCAGTAAAGTGGAATAAATGATGTGCAGTAAAGTGGAATAAATGATGTGCAGTAAAGTGGAATAAATGATGTGCAGTAAAGTGGAATAAATGATGTGCAGTAAAGTGGAATAAATGATGTGCAGTAAAGTGGAATAAATGATGTGCAGTAAAGTGGAATAAATGATGTGCAGTAAAGTGGAATAAATGATGTGCAGTAAAGTGGAATAAATGATGTGCAGTAAAGTGGAATAAATGATGTGCAGTAAAGTGGAATAAATGATGTGCAGTAAAGTGGAATAAATGATGTGCAGTAAAGTGGAATAAATGATGTGCAGGTGCAGGGTGGTTCTGGGTGGTGCACACGCACAGGCTGGTGACGGGGCACTTACCTCCTCCGTGACTCACTCGGAAGAAAAAACAGAGAAGCCTCGGACTTATTCGGAAAGGACGCAGAAGCTTCGCTCTCACCTCCTCCAGCTTCACTCTTTGAATCACTTTGAATCCAGAATCACTCTGTTGACATCACTTTTGAGAATTCTCAAAAGTGATTCTGAATAGCTCTCGCTGTGCTGCCCGGCTTGGCCTTGTCTTGCCCTGGAAATGACAGAGAAGCTTCGCAGACACTGGAAAGAACAGGGAAGCTTCGCACTCACCTCCTACACCTTCACTCTCTGGAACGCTCTTGCAGCGCTGCCCAGCTTGCTCCCTGATCCTGGCGAGATGGCATCAAAGCTCCTCTTGTTGCCCATGAGCTGGGTGGGGGGTGGGGAGGGGTAGAAGGGGCAGTGGAAGTGGCATGGGTTGGGGCATAGGAATAGAGAATGGGGTGGAGATCTCGCAGCACTGCCCAGCTTGCTGCCTGACCCCGGGGAGATGGCGTCAAAGCTCCTCTTGTTGCCCGCGAGCTGGGCGGGGGATGGGGAGAAGGGGCAGTGGAAGAGGCATGGGGAATGGAGTGTGGGGTGGGGCATAGCCGTATAAGTGGGGAGTGGAATAGTAAGGGGCACGGGAATAGTGCTCTTGCAGCGCTGCCCAGCTTGCTGCCTGATCCGGGTGAGGTGACATCAAAGACCCACTTGCTGCCCGTGAGCTGAGTGGGGGGTGAAGGAAGGAGTATGCGAAGGAAGGACTTTTGAGGCGCCTCAAAAGCTTGCTGCCTGATCCGCGCGAGGTGACACCAAAGACCCACTTGCTGCCCGTGAGCTGAGTGGGGGGTGAAGGAAGGAGTATGCGAAGGAAGGACAAGGCGTCCTACAATATGAGATGTAGACGAGCAATAGAGCTTTTGAGTCGACTCAGAAGGAAGGATGAGGCGTCCTAGAATATGAGACGTAGAGGAGCAATAGAGCTTGCAGAACTAAAATGCTGAACGCACATGCACATGCACATGTGAGCCTGACAATGCCAAACACACGATTTTTGAATGCAAACTTGCAACGGCAACCGCTGCACATGTGAGCCTGATAGTGCCAAGCACACGAGCCATTCCGAGCTTTGCCGCCCACCCGGTACATTGCCGCCCACACGGTACATTGCCGCCCACCTGGTACCCTGCCGCCCACCCAGTACCCTGCCGCCCACCCAGTACCCTGCCGCCCACCCAGTACCCTGGCAGGTGTCATCTGCCATCCATTCTGCTGCTGCTCCTCCTGCTGTTTCTGCTGCTCCTGCTCCTTCTGCTTCTGCTGCCGACCCCCTCTTTCTTTCTTAATCTCCTTCACATTTGACTTCTTCGGTTTCTCCTCCTCCTCCTCCTCACTCTCCTCCTCACTCTCCTCCTCACTCTCTTCGTCCTCGCTCTCCTCCTCGTCACTACTCTCCTCTTCACTGCTTTCCTCCTTTTTCACAACTTTCTTTTCCTCCTCACTCTCCTCCTCCTCCTCCTCCTCCTCCTCCTCCTCCTCCTCCTCCTCCTCCTCCTCCTCCTCCTCCTCCTCCTCCTCCTCCTCCTCCTCCTCCTCCTCCTCACTACTCTCCTCCTCACTGCTCTCTTTCTTTTTCACAACCCTCTTCACTTCCTCTTCCTCCTCCTCACTCTCCTCCTCCTCATCACTACTCTCTTCCTCCTCCTCACTGCTCTCCTTCTTCACAACCTTCTTAACTTCCTCCTCCTCCTCCTCCTCCTCACTCTCCTCCTCATCAATACTCTCCTCCTCACTGCTCTCTTCCTTTTTCACCACCTTCTTAACTTCCTCTTCCTCTTCCTCACTCTCCTCCTACTCCTCCTCTTCACTACTCTCCTCATCCTCACTGCTCTCTTCCTTTTTCACCACTTTCTTAACTTCCTCTTCCTCTTCCTCACTCTCCTCCTCCTCCTCCTCTTCACTACTCTCCTCATCCTCACTGCTCTCTTCCTTTTTCACCACTTTCTTAACTTCCTCTTCCTCTTCCTCACTCTCCTCCTACTCCTCCTCTTCACTACTCTCCTCATCCTCACTGCTCTCTTCCTTTTTCACCACTTTCTTAACTTCCTCTTCCTCTTCCTCCTCCTCCTCCTCCTCCTCCTCACTACTCTCCTCATCCTCACTGCTCTCTTCCTTTTCTACCACTTCTTAATTTCCTCTTCCTCCTCCTCACTCTCCTCCTCCTCCTCCTCACTGCTCTCCTCCTCCTCACTGCTCTCTTCCTTTTTCACAACCTTCTTCTCTTCCTCTACCTCCTCCTCACTCTCCTCCTCTTCACTACTCTCCTCCTCTTCACTCTCCTCCTCCTCACTGCTCTCCTCCTTTGCTGCTATCTTCTTTACAACTTTCTTCTCTACCTCCTCCTCACTCTCTTCCTCCTCCTCACTCTCCTCATCGCTACTCTCCTCCTCACTACTTTCCTCCTTTTTCACAGCTTTCTTTTCGTCCTCCTCTTCTTCACTCTCCTCCTCTTCCTCATCACTACTCTCCTCCTCCTCACTACTCTCCTCCTTCACTTTCTTTTCTTCCTCCTCCTCCTCATCACTCTCCTCCTCCTCTTCCTCATCACTGCTCTCCTCCTCCGCACTACTCTCCTCCTTCACTTTCTTCTCTTCCTCCTCCTCCTCCTCACTCTCCTCCTCCTCACTCTCCTCCTCACTCTCCTCCTCCTCACTCTCCTCCTCACTCTCCTCCTCCTCACTCTCTTCCTCACTCGCTACTTCCATCTTCTCATCACTGCTCTCCTCCTTTTTGCCCTTCTTTCCCTTCTTGCCAGCCTTCTCTCCCTCTTTCCCCTTCCCCTTCCCCTTCCCCTTCCCCTTCCCCTTCCCCTTCCCCTTCCCCTTCCCCTTCCCCTTCTCCCCCTCCGCCGCTCCTTTCTTCTCCGCTTTCACATCTTTAATCTTCGTCTCCACTATGACTTGCTTTGCCTCCTTCAACTCCCGCTTCTCCCTCTTCTTACCCTTCATCTCTTCCGTCGTCTCTCTCTTTTCTGTCGTTTTTGTTACTTCCGTCGTCTCCTCACCCTTTTTCCCCTTCTTAACCTCTTTCGTCTCCTTTTCTTTCTTCTCTACAATCTCGGTCTCCGTCTCCTTCTTTCCCTCCTTCTCCTTCTTCACTTCCTTGGTCTCCTTCTTCGCCTTGACCACCTTCGTTTCGATCGCTTCTTTCGCAACACTCTTCGCATTCTTCGCAGCACTCTTCGTTTTCTTCGCAACAACCTTCGCATTCTTCGCAGCACTCTTCGTTTTCTTCGCAACAACCTTCGCATTCTTCGCAGCACTCTTCGTTTCCTTCGCAACAACCTTCGCTTTCTTCGCAGCACTCTTCGTTTCCTTCGCAACAACCTTCGCTTTCTTCGCAGCAATCTTCGCATCCTCCGCAACAACCTTGCCTTTCTTCACCTTGCCTTTCTTCACCTTGCCTTTCTTCACCTCCGCAACAACCTTGCCTTTCTTCACCTTCAGCTGCACTTGGCGCGGGACAGCCAAGACAGACAACTCTCCTTATTAGCATCCCCTTTTTTAGTCACATTCTTTTTAGCCTTCTTCGTCTTCTCCACCCCATCGGCTGTCTCCTCCTTTCTCTTCTTGCCCTTCTTCTCAGCAGTCGCTGTAATCCCCGCCATTAGCGGCCTGTTTCCTGCGCTTAGCGGATCCCGCAAATAGCAGTCGCTGTAATCCCCGCCATTAGGGGAGAATGAAAGGGGTAGCATGGGGGAAGGGAGAATGAAAGGGGTAGCAGGGGGAAAGGGAGAATGAAAGGGGTAGCAGGGGGAAAGGGAGAATGAAAGGGGTAGCAGGGGGAAAGGGAGAATGAAAGGGGTAGCATGGGGGAAAGGGAGAATGACATGGGTCGCACGGGGAAGCGTGTGGGGAGCGGAGGGCATGCACAGTCGAGTAGAAGGGGTGTATTTGAGAGGTCTCAAAAACACCCTCTCCGCACGGGGAAGCGTGTGGGAAGCGTGTGGGGAGCGTGTGGGGAGCGGAGGGCATGCATGGTCGAAAGGGAGGTGTGGACCTGGGGGAGTGGCGGAAAGTATGGGTGGGGGTGGGGGATTGGACGGGGGGGAGTGGGGGAAAGGGCGGGGAGGAGTGGGGGAAAGGGCAGGGAGGAGTGGGGGAAAGGACGAGGGGGAGTGGGGAAAGGGCGGGTGGGAGTGGGGGAAAGGGCGGGTGGCGGTGGGGGTAAGGGCGGGTGGTAGGGACGGAAAGAGAGGATTAGCGTGGGGGAAAAGCAGGGGTGGTGTGGGGAAAAGGGAGGGTTAGCGTATGGGACGGTAACCTGGCTCAAATGGGAAGGGAGGGGTAGCGTGGGGGAAAGGGAGGGGTAGCGTGGGGAAAAGGGAGGGGTAGCGTGGGGGAAAGGGAGGGGTAGCGTGGGGGAAAGGGAGGGGTAGCGTGGGGGAAAGGGAGGGGTAGCGTGGGGGAAAGGGAGGGTGGGAGCGGTGAAAAGGGCGGGTGGGAGTGGGGTAGAGGGTGGGTTGGCGGTAGGGAAAGGGAAGATTAGCGTGGCGGAAAATGAGGGTTGGCGCGAGGAAAAGGGAGGGTTTGGCGCGGGGGGAAGGGAGGGTATGGCGCGGGGGGAAGGGAGGGTTGGCGCGGGGGGGAAGGGGGGAAGCTCCCCATGATACAGGGAGGCGTAATGTAAGGGGGAGCTAGAGAAATTGTGGGGAAATGGAAGGGGAACCCAAGAAAGGGAGAGGGGATGAAAGGGATTGACTCAGGGAGCGGGGATGTAAGGGGGAGTGAATGCGACGGTGCGAAAGTGGCATACGCCAATGCAACGGTGCGATTGCGGCGTGGCGACCTAAACGGCGTGATTGTGGCGTGGCGAATGCGACGGCGCGAATGGTGCACGCGGAGTGCCGAGTTCGAAAAGCGCCTAAGCAACCGTGGAAGTATGTGTGCGCTAACCCTAATGAACGTCGCTCTCCTCAACGGCTATGATCACGTACCTTTTGTTGTTAGCGATCCGCGCCTACGTGCAATGCGGTATGCGAGCGAATTGCTATATCTCAGCGTGACGATAACGCCGGCAGAAGCAGACGGGAGGAAAGGCAGGAGAACGAGGAAAGCAGGGGGTTTTGTGGTGGCGGGGGTTCGGGGTTTGCGGGAGCAAACACCAGCAATGCAGTTACGATTTGTGTGGTGTGTGATGCTAGAGGCGAAATCGAGAAACTGGCTGGGGATACCCTAGCCCAAGACTTTCGCCGTGCGGTTTGCGAAAAAGGCGATTTGCTTTGATCGCGAAAACGGCTCCGATCAGTTCGTGGATGTGGGATGGAAAAGAGTAGTCCTCATCGTCGCGAATACGAGGTAAGCCGTGCACTGGCACTGACGGCAGCTGAAAACGGAGAGCTCTGTAAAATGTACGGGCTCATTGTGTGAGCAAGAACCGCGAAAATGTCAATGTGCCAAAATTTGCCATCGATACCAACCGACATGCAAAATTTCCGTCGTCGTCGTCCTGAATCTGCGTCGCCGACTGTCTTCTTCACAGCTAAGAGCGTTGAAGCGGACGGTCCACGTCGTCATCACCGTCTGTTTCGCTGTCTCCGCCGTTATCTCTCCCTCCTGTCGGCGACCCAAACTGTCGCCAGCAGGCACCAAGCGACAGACCACCACCACGTTAACGAAATCGTGAGCCGTCGTTGATCAACACGCGCTTCCATCACTTCAATGTGCTCAAGCCGTGGCGCCACCGCCAGCAACTCTCCAATTTCAATTCCAATGCCCTTGATGGCCCCAGTGAGTCAGATTTCAGGAGTCTTTTCGGTTATTTCGGGTCTAATGCGGTGAAAAGCAGGCGCAGGTGACACCAAGTTTTCCCGCACTGAACCGTGCTGCAGACTCATACACCGCAACAACCAGGCGGGCTCATGCTCATATCCACTCCTACTACAAATACCCATGTGAGCCCCCATATTCATTCATCGCAAAACCAGCACTACATAAAGCAAGCATCAACCTCTTTCACTCATCAAGCTCCTCCAGCAAAACAGATCGACGGTTCCTTCTCTGCACACGTCCTGTACCTCCCTAGTAGAACTCACTCGCGACAACGATTAGCCCTCCCATCTTTCAAAATTTGTGACTTAAAGTGATCTTTTGAAACTGCCGAGTAGCCGTAGACGAATCTGCTCCTCGAAACTACCGTAGAACCCATCCTGCTATGGCTTCTAATCGAATCCTATGTCTTCTCGTCCTCGTGCTCGCGGCGTCTTCGTTCTTAACTTTCTGCGCCGCAACGACCGCCGCAAAGGGCTCCGCGAAGGCCGCACCTGCTGGCTCTACCGGTAGAAATAAGAGCTCTGGGACTGGCGCGAAGGGGGCAGGAAATGGCTCAACTAATCCCGGAAACTCGGGGAAAACGAACAGCTCGATTTCGGCCTTCGACAAAGCGGTGCAGAGGCTCAACGAAACGGGTTACACGCAGTTCGCGGCCCTCGCGAAGCTATACAGTGAGTTTGATGTCACGGTCTAGACCCTGGACCACGAATTCGCGCACAACACGGGTTACATTTCTTCCCTTCGCCTCTCTGATTCTTTTTCCTGCTGCGTTCATCTTTCTCTCCCGCTCATCCCTTCTCATCCTCTCATCTTGCTCCCCCCCTCGGGTTCTCTGATTCCAGGCCAAATAAAAGAGGTTAGCTCCGCTCTCCAGCAGCCTCTCACGCTGCTCGTACCGAGCAACGAGGCACTCAATAAGGTGAAAGTCACGAGCTACAGTGCGAGCCAGCTCGCGACGCTCGTCGGTTACCAGGCGATCCAGGGCGTGTACACTTTTCGCCAGCTTCAGATGCTGCGAATGAACACGCCTGTCGCGACCGTCGCGATCGGTGGCGACAAGAAGCCTCTCATTCTCGTGAAAGCGTCCAAGCCGAACGCGAAGAACCGCGTTGTGCTTCAAGGGAGGGCGGCGCCTAGAAGCACAATCACTATAGTCAATGGCGACGTATTCTACATGGCGAAGAAACTTGCGGTTCATACGACCGACGCTGTTGTGTTCCCTACCGGCATCAACTAGACGCCAATACAGCGTACGTAACCCGTGGTACACACATACGAAGCACTTATCGATTAGGCTGTTATCGCGTAGAAAATGCCAATCTCTTGCATTCATAGGAAGCTCACAGGACAGTCCCGTGGCATCGCACAGCGAGGTTTGATTCTGCCACCTCAGAGACACTTAACCCTGTTGATCAAATCTCCCAGGTTGCCTGCGTGTAGGGAGTGACAGGTTGAGCTGTAGAGTCTGATTGGATCGGGTTATGTCTCAAATTGTAGCAATTTTCCAATTTTCATTTTTGTGGTCGGTGGCCACGGGAGTGGCAATATTGCTCTCCTCAATACTGTGTATGGTTGACATAATTTACCACTACAGCTTTATTTGTCGCACACTGTATCATTCTGGGCTATATTGTTTCTGCTGTCATTTCGAAGATGAACGACCCTGAGTCTTTACATCACTGAAATTATGAAGAATATCCAGGGGACAATGACTCTGGAGTGACTGTGTTAGGCAACACCTAGGAGGAGCTTGCTGGCTGGAAGAGTGAACCAGTGGTGGGAAAGAGTGGGCAGGAGGGGGGAGGTGTGGGAGGGTGGGGGGATTGGGAAGGAGAGAAGGGGGAGAATGGGTGCAATGCGAAGCAAAACACTTTCACATCAGGAGCTTTAGTGCAGCTGAAATCCCAGCGGAATTCCCGAAGCAGAAAGTGCATGGACCCATCTGCAAGTGCATGGACCAATTTGTAAGCAACAGGCGCAAGCAAACCTCTTGTCACCTCAAAGTCGTTCAGGGGCTTAATATCCATCGCCATGAAGCACCATGATGTATCCCACAGCAAAGCATGCAAAAGCTTTCCATGAAGCTCTTGCAACACAACCAGCTGGGGGGTTGGATTAAATCCCGTTCCAGAACCTTTCATTTCATGATTTATTTACACCCATCCGTGTGATTTGAATTTGAATGGGAGCAAGACAGTCTTGTCATGTGTTGAAGAGAAAGTAAAGCATGGGAGGTAAAGCATGTGAGGTCTTGAGTGACCTCGGACACGTCTGCAGAGTGCAACATGTCAGAAATACAGTACGGTGGTGTAAAGGGCATCACACATTCTGAAAACTTATGCATAATGGTACACACAGCCCAAGAAAACAAAAGCGCTCCCAGGTGGGCTTGAACCACCGACCTTGTGGTTAACAGCCACACGCTCTAACCAACTGAGCTACGAGAGCACGTACAATTGAATACGCAATAAAATAAGTAACATTATGTTTTTGCAGGTTTCGCAAATTACACGGTTTCACATTCGCCACGAAGGTCCCACTAGGCGCGCAATGTCGTCCGTTGCCCTTCGTCTCTCCACTCGAAGCTCCTTATTTTCCGCAACCGATCCTTCCTTCTCCCTCCCCCCTTCCTCTCGCAGCAGCAGCAGCGGTAGCGTCAGCCGTGTAGGTAGCGGTGATCCTCCCTTCTCTCTTCCCCTTTCGTCTCGCAGCAGCAGCAGCGGTAGCCTCAGCGGTATAGGTAGCGGTTTCGGCAGGATTTTGTGGGGTAGAGTAGCTAATGTAGGTCTGACACGTGGCGGACGGTGGTTGGCCCTGGCGCGGGTAGGCGGTGTTAGGCATGGGGGAGCGGCGGAGGCGGAAAATGGGCGGAGAGGCGTGCGGGGAGAGGGTTTGCTCACAGGCGGGTCGCGCGGGCGGGAAACGCGCTTGGTGGCGCGAGTCGCGGCGGGAAGTGCGGGGAGGGGCGAGTGGGCAGACGTGGAAAAAGGAGACGTAGAAAAGGGAGATGTAGTCGGTGGGGAGCGAGAGGCTGTTGGTGGGCGGGACGACGGTGAGTGAGCGCAACGCCTCCTCCCCTTCCCCCTCCCTTCCGCCCCCTTCCCCCCCTCCCCCCTCCCCGCTTCCCCCCTCCTCTTTCCCCCTTCCCCGCCCCCCCTTACCCCCTCCCCTTTCGCCCCTCCCCTTTCTACCTTTCCCCTTCCCCTTCCCCCCTTTCCCCTTCCCCTTCCCCAATTCCGCTTTCCCTCTGCCGCCACCCGTGCTTGGGTCCCCCCACTGCGTGGGTCCCCTCACGCTAGCCCGGAACCCCCACCCCTCAAGCCCCCTCGCCCGCTCCTTCCTCTTCCCCACCTGCCCGTTGCCCCCCCCCTTTTCTCTCGTGCCTTCCAGTCTCCTTTCTTCGGGCAGCCAGCACGGTGGGCGCAGCAGCAGCTGCCAGCAAGGTCCTGGTAAGCTGTGGGGGAGGGGGGGGGGCAGGTCTTGTTTATAGTGAGTGCATGTGCGGCGTGTGAGGGGATAGGCTGTGCTTGTGCAAGCAAGCACAGCGGGCGCAGCAGCAGCTGCCAGCAAGGTCCTGGTAAGCTGTGGTGGTGGTGGGCTGAGGGCTAGGAGTTATGGGGGGGGGGGCGCGGGGGCAGGGGGGCAGTGGGGCAGGGTACCAGGAGGGCAGGGGGCAAGGGGCAGGGGGCAGGGGGCAGGGGACAGGGGACAGGGGATGAATTGGATAATATTTCCTCCCCTCCTTCCCCCACCCCCACCCACCTGAAATCCTCCTCAGGGCCTCATGCGAGAGATGGTGCTTGCTGCTGCCTTTGGCGTTGGTCCAGTCATGACTGCTTTCAGGTGCGCTCAGGTGCCCTTTGATTAGCTCAGGTTGGTTCAGGTGGGCCCAGGTGGCCTCAGGTCGACTCAGGTTCTTCCTGCCTTTGGCGTTGGTCCAGTCATGACTGCTTTCAGGTGCGTTCAGGTGTCTTCAGGTGAATTCAGGTGTCTTCAGGTGCGTTCAGGTGTCTTCAGGTGAATTCAGGTGTCTTCAGGTGCGCTCAGGTGTCTTCAGGTGGGTTCAGGTGGCCTCAGGTGGGCTCAGGTGTCTTCAGGTGGGTTCAGGTGGCCTCACGTGGGCTCAGGTGGGCTGAGGTTCTTCCTGCATTTGGCGTTGGTCCAGTCATGACTGCCTTCAGGTGCGTTCAGGTGCCTCAGGTGCTCCAGGTGCTTTCAGGTGCCGTCACTCAGGTGACTATCAGGTGCCCCAGGTGCCTTTCCAGGTGAATCAGGTGCTTCCAAATGGTTTCAGGTTGGTGCTTCCAATCCTCAAACTCCTGTGTTTTTCTCTCCCCCTCTTCACCCTCTCGCTTCTTCCCATCGCTCCCTTCCCCCACACTCTCCCCCTTCTATCCATATCAGTTACGTGTCGCTCATCTCAACCTTCTGCCTACTCGCTCCCTTCCACCCCCTTCTCACTCCTGCTCCCCTCGCCCCTCCCCCAATCCCCACCTTCCTCCCCCTTCTATCCATATCAGTTATGCGTCGCTGATCCCAACCTTCTGCCTGTCGCTGCTCGGAGGTCAGTTCCTTGCACTAAATTCACTATATAGTCCTCGTGCACTTTCCAATACAGTCACAATCCACTCTGTACCACCTGCACCACACACCACCTGCCCCACACACACACCACCTGCCCCACACACACACCACCTGCCCCACACACACACCACCTGCCCCACACACACACCACCTGCCCCACATACCCATTCCTCCTCTGCAACCATCCTTTCAGGTGTAAACGGTCCCTTTCACAGCGCCATTGCCTCGGTCCTAAGGTACTGCAACTGTTTATAAGGAATTTGCTTGCTGTATTCTTTATGTTTTTATCTGATGAATATAGATGAAATAAGCAGCTGTTTCCGTTTAGTGAGTCAGCTCTTGTAAAAACCAGGTCATTACCCACTGTAACCGTCCTCCCTCTCTTCCAAAAGCGCCTGCACTTCTCGCCTGAAAAAAACGCCGTCCTCCCTCTCTATCTGAGTTAATACCGTAACTCTGCCTCCTTCCAACGTGACGTGTGTGTCTTTCCCGCCCGCCCAGCAAAGCTGCTGAGAAGGATACTGGGAAAGACACTGAGAAGGATACTGGGAAAGACAGTGAGAAGGGTGGGGCGAGGAGCAGCCTGAATGCAGCGAGGATGCAGCAGGAGCTGCTGGTCCTGGTGTCGGTGCTCGTAGCCCTGGTAGTGCCTCAGCTCCCACCCACCCACTTCCCTTCCTGTACTCTACTCAATACTTGAGGCGCCTCAAAAGCCAAACCCCTCTGTTTGTCTTCCAGCAACAATAGCCACACACCTCCCTGGTCTTCCTTGCAAACTCTAATTACTCCATATATTTTTTGAGAATTAGATAAAAAAACATACACACACTCGCCGTTCCACCCCTCACTGCCCTTCTCTCTGTCATCCGGGCATCAGTAGCGCAGCCTCACCAATCTTCCCTGAACATCCAATGCACTCCGCTGATCTCTTATTGCTCTCCCCACTCCCTCCCCGTTCCGCCCCTCCCTGCCTCTCTCTCCCTCTTCGCCCTCCAGGCGTCAATAGTCGCAGCATTGCTGATTTTCCTCTGTGCACGACCCATTATTGATCTTCTTGCACCCGGGTAATGCGGCATGGCATGGCATGGATGGGATGGCATGGCATGGATGGGATGGCATGGCATGGATGGGATGGCATGGCATGGATGGGATGGCATCATGGCATGGATGGGATGGCATCATGGCATGGATGGGATGGCATGGCATGGATGGGATGGCATGGCATGGATGGGATGGCATGGCATGGATGGGATGGCATCATGGCATGGATGGGATGGCATCATGGCATGGATGGGATGGCATCATGGCATGGATGGGATGGCATCATGGCATGGATGGGATGGCATGGCATGGATGGGATGGCATGGCATGGATGGGATGGCATGGCATGGATGGGATGGCATCATGGCATGGATGGGATGGCATCATGGCATGGATGGGATGGCATGGCATGGATGGGATGGCATGGCATGGATGGGATGGCATGGCATGGATGGGATGGCATGGCATGGATGGGATGGCATCATGGCATGGATGGGATGGCATCATGGCAGTCCATCCACCTGAGCTCTGTAAACCTCCTTGCACTCAGACGGTACAGCATGGCTTGAAGCAATGTGTGGTGGTGTGTGGCAATGTGTGGTGGTGTGTGGCAATGTGTGGTGGTGTGCGGTTCAATGACTGTCTTTCCGCTTGGCAACCACGTGCTAGCTGTTCTTCTGTGTTCCTCTCCCATTTGCGTTCCTCTCCCATTTGTGTTCCTCTCCCATTTGTGTTCCTCTCCCATTTGCGTTCCTCTCCCATTTGCTTTCCTCTCCCATTTGCGTTCCTCTCCCATTTGCGTTCCTCTCCCATTTCTACCATTTCCTTTGGTATTTTCTCTTCTTCTGTGCAGCCTCTCTTTCCCTCCAGCAGCCGTTGCGAGTGATCCATCAGCAGTGGCATCGTTCGCCCTGACTCGCCATGTCGCCATCTCACAGGCAAGCATGCATGCACGCTGCTACCAAACATTTTAGCCGTAGATTCAATGCGACCCAAGTGCTGCTCACTAGGGCTCTCGCAAGTGATCCATCCGCAGTCGCATCATTCGCCCTGACTCGCCACGTTGCCATCTCACAGGTAAGTGCCACACATGCCTCTATGTGAGATGTTTCCCATGCTTTACCATCATTTCCTCAATCTCAGCATCGGCTGCAGACAATGGCTCATTGCATTGCCCTCACACGTAGCCTCCTCTTTTCGAGACGTTGCCCTCGCTCCTCTCCTCCTCCTCCTCCTCCTCCTCCTCCTCCTCCTCCTCCTCCTCCTCCTCCTCCTCCTCCTCCTCCTCCTCCTCCTCCTCCTCCTCCTCCTCCTCCTCCTCCTCCTAATCACACAATGCCTCAATCTCTATATAACGTGCTCCTCGTACCTTACCCCTGCAGCTGCGACAAATGGCATCGCCCTCGCTCCTCTCCTCCTCCTGTGCACACAATGACCAGTCTCTATGAGACCTTGACCAGTCTCTATGAGACCTTGACCAGTCTCTATGGGACCCTGCGCCCCTAACCCCATGCCTGACTCTCTATAAACCGTGCTCCCCTTACCCCCGCAGCTGCAACAAATGGCCCCCACCATCGCCCTTGCTCCTCTCATCGGCATCGGCTTTGGAACACTCAGGTGAGTCCTGCATGCCTGTTTGCCCGCCCGCCCGCTCGCTCGCCCGCTGGCCCTCCCGTTCGCCTGCCTGCCTGCCTGCTTGCCTGCCTACCTGCCTGCCTGCCTGCCCGCCTGCGTCCTGCCTGCCTGCCCGCCTGTCTGCCCGCCTGCCTGCCCGCCTGCGTCCTGCCTGTCTGTCTGTCTGCTCCTTCCCTAAGCATCCCTCATCATCCCTCAGCACCCCTTCCTTCCTCCCCCATTGGCCCCCACCACCACCCATCACATCCCACAGTGCAAGAGGGGAGTTTGCCATTCCGTCCCTCTCCCCTTCTCTCTCCAGCCTCTCAGTTCTGCTCGGGGTAAGGCTGAAGAACCCACAAAGTGCTATGCTCTTCTCCTCTCAATCTCCAGAGATAATACTCTGTTACTGCCCTGTGCCAATGAGGGGATTTTCCGTCGGCCTGTGCTGCTGGTCCCCTCTTGCCGCAAATTCCCCCAAGGCCCCTCTCATGCCTCTCCCCACACCCCCCTCCTCCTTGGTCAACACCCCCTTCCCCCTTCCACCCACTCTTCCCCTCACTCCATCCAGATTGCCTTTTACTTCGCCCTATGCCGCTGGTCCCCCCTTGCCTCAAATCTCACCAAGGTCCCTCTCATGCCCCCTCAACGACACTCCTTTTTCCACCACTCCCCTCACTCCATCCAGATTGCTGTCTACTTCGCCCTGTGTCGCTGGTCTCCCGTTGCCTCACCTCAACGCGAGATCATAGGTCCGTGATAGGTCGGTGATAGGTTCGGTGATAGGTTCGGGATAGGTTCGGTGATAGGTTCGGTGATAGGTTTAGGATAGGCCCGTGACCCTTGCACTCCTATGCTTGTTCGCAAACAAACTCTCAGCCACTTGTTTCTCTCTTTGTGCTCTCAATGGCTCTTTGGTATCTCGTTTCTTTGCTACCCTTGTTTGACTTGCTAATCTTTTTTCTATGTGGATCATGGCAGGTGGAACGTGTCCGGCTGTCAGCTTCACTGCCGGTGCTCTCCTGCTGCTGGTGTTGGTTCTTGGATCTCGTACAATCTGAGTTGACTTTTGAGTCGGGTTTTGAGTTGACTTTTGAGTTGACTTTTGAGTTGACTTTTGAGTTGACTTTTGAGTAGACTTTTGAGTCAACTCAAAAGTCAACCGGTGCTCTCCTGCTGCTGGTGTTGGTTCTTGGATCTCGTACAATCTGACACGTGTCCTGAACGCCTCTCCCATCTCTTGTTTCCGTATGCACAATGGCAGGTGGAACGTGTCTGGCTGTCAGCTTCACTGCCGGTGCTCTCCTGCAGTGGCTGATTCAGGTGCTCTTGCATGCTTTCAGGTGCTCTTGCATGCTTTCAGGTGCTCTTGCATGCTTTCAGGTGCTCTCTTCTCCTTTCAGGTGCTCTATGAAAATCATTGTCTATCCGATTCTTGAACTCTTCTCTGTCATCCTTCCCTGCCTATTCCTTACAAGCGATTCAACCCCTCTTTGCCTGTGCCTATCGCAGCTTGCAGCTGAGATCCGCTCTGCACCAGCACCACAGCGACTGGCAGTTCCAGCACCTCCTGAAACAGCAGCACAGCAAGTGACAATATCCCTATGCTTATCTCGTCTACACTCTCCAACCCCCTCTGCCTGTGCCTATCGCAGCTTGTAGCTGAGATTCGATCAGCACCAGCACCACAGCAACTGGCAGCGACACCACTTCCTGAAACAACAGCAGCAGCATCAGCAGTGCAAGTGGTGGTGACAACCGAACAACCAGAGGACCCGACACCAGCAGCACCGCCAGCAGCGTCGCCAGCAGCAGCAACAGCACCATCGCTACCCCCAGCACCACCAGCAACAGCAAAAACAGCAGCAATAACAGCACCAGCACCAGCACCATCACCTCCACCATCAGCAGCAGCAGCAGCAGCAGCCACAGCGCCTCATGTGCATGCCCCCAGCTGGCTGCCTCTAACTGCGCTGTTTGCACGACATAGCGAGCAACTGAGAGAGGTGAGAAATCACAGTCGTATTTTTCACTGCATGCTTCTCTCATTTCATCCGTTTATTACGGCTCAAAAGGCTCATTCCGGCTGCTCTGTCTCTTTCTCTTCCCACTAGGTCTTTGGCGTTCTGATTTTTGAGACGTCTCAAAAGGCTCATTCTTTTGAGACGTCTCAAAAGGCTCATTCCGGCTGCTCTGTCTCTTTCTCTTCCCACTAGGTCTTTGGCGTTCTGATTCCAGCAACAGTTGCATCGGGCATGCTTCAAATCGCCACCTTCACCGACCTCTACTTTGCTTCCTTCCTTCCCGGCACTGCTGCTGCTCTCGGCTGTGAGTGCTGTGTGCTGCTGTGTATTTCTTCCACATTCACTCACCACTCTCGCTGCCACCTTCACAGACCTTTACTTCGCTTCCTCTTGGCTGTGAGTGTTGTATGTTGTAGCACCACCCTCCTGCCTCTGGGTGCTGTGTGTTGCTGGATCAGCACTCCAAGCAACTAATACCTTCCACCTTCACTCATCACCCTTACCGCCACCTTCACAGACCTCTACTTTGCCTCATTCCTTCCCGGCACAGCCGCTGCTCTCGGCTGTGAGTGCTGATACAGTCAAAGTTGTTGCCGCTGTTGCTCCCCCCCACCAGGTCTGTGTTGCTCCCGGAGCATTCGCCACCGCCCTGCTTGTGCTGCTTATGTTTTTTGAGAATTCTCAAAAAACAGGTCTGTGTTGCTCCCGGAGCTGTTGCTCTGGTCAGCATTCGCCACCGTCCTGCTTGTGCTGCTGCCTGTCGTTGCCCCTTTTGAGTCGACTCAAAAGTCAACTTGTGCTGCTGCCTGGTGTTGCCCTTTCCCCACCTCCCAACCTACCCCTTCCCCACCTCCCAACCTACCCCTTCTTCTTGCTCTTCCCCCCCAGACGCCAATCTGCTGGTCATGGCACCCCTCGGGATTATCTCCACCGCCCTCCTCGTGCCTTCGTTGTCCTTCCCTCCTTGATCCTTATCCCCCCGTCTCCCTTAACCTGTCCCCTCGGGATTATCCCCCCGTCTCCCTTAACCTGTCCCCCCCTCTCCCCACACCCCTCCCCAGATGCCAATCTGCTGGTCATGGCACCGCTTGGTATTCTCTCGACCGCCCTCCCCGTGCCTCCTCTTGTCATTGTCCCCTCTTCAATCCCTACCCTTCCCTGTTCCCCCAACCTACCCCCCCTTTTGCTCCTCCCCTTCCCAGACGCCAATCTGCTGGTAATGGCACCGCTTGGGATTCTCTCCACCGCCCTCCTCGTGCCGCTGCTGCCTGCCTTTGCTCGTCTCGCTCATGTGAGTGAGTGAATGAGTGAGGGAGTGAGTGAGTGAGTGAGTGTGTGAGTGAGTGAGTGAGTGAGTGAGTGAGTGTGTCAGAGTGTGGATCCTTTTCCATGTGAGTGTTCATTGCTCATCCTGACCATCCCAGTCTACTTAGTTGCATCGCTCTTCCCCCTCTCTCCTCCCTGTCGTGTCTCTCCCCCATCCCATCCCCTCTCTCTCTTCCCCATTCAGCCTAAGGATCGACCTCTCTTGAAGGATAGCTTGCGACGAGGGCTGGTCATGGCACTGGTATGGCATGGTGCGGTGTGGTGTGGTGTGGTGTGGTGTGGTGTGGTGTGGTGTAGTGTGGTGTGGTGTGGTGTGGTGTGGTGTGGTATGGATGTTATGGCAGTGCTATGGTATGGCATGCATGGCTATGGCACAGCATGGCATGCTGTTGATGATGCTCTGCTTATGCCACCTGGTTGATACCATATGAGGCTGAATTTGTTTTTTGAAAATTCTCAAAAAAACAACTGCTGTTGATGATGCTATCCATATGTCACATGGTTGATACCATATGCCACATGGTTGATACCATATGCCACATGGTTGATACCATATGCCACATGGTTGATACCATGTGTCACACCGCTTCTCTTTCAGCATCGGCATCCTCTCTCAACCCACCCAACCGCATCTCATCCCATCCCACCCACCTCAACATACTTCACCCCACCACACCCCACCACACCCCACCACACCCCACCTCACCTCATCACATCCTCTTTTGTTCCCTCCCCTCGCCCCTCACAGGCCGTGACTCTCCCGATGACAGCTGTCATGCTCCCATTGGCCCGTCCCATCGTGCGCATTGTCTTCCAACGACGCTCCTTTGATGCCTCTGCCACCTCCCTCGTCTCCTCGCTGCTCTCCTGCTGTCAGTGTTCTCTGGCTGTGTCATCTCTGCTCGCTTGCTCTCAGTAGTTGTCCCCCTTCGCATTGTCTTCCAGTGTCGCTCCTTCGATGCCTCTGCCACCTCCCTCGTCTCCTCGCTGCTCTCCTGCTGTCAGTGCTGCCACTCTCCTCTCCTCACTCCTCGCATGCTGTTAGTATCGCTCTCCTTTCCCTCCTCTCATAGCTTTTCTCCTTTGACGCCTCTGCCACCTCCCTCGTCTCCTCGCTGCTCTCCTGCTGTCAGTATTTCCTGCCACTAACATTTCTGTTCACATGTTGTCAGTGTTCTCTGGCTGTGTCGTCTCTGCTCGCTTGCTCCCAGTAGTTCTCTCCCTTCGCATTGACTTCCAGTGTCGCGATTTGAGACATCTCAAAACACTTCTTCAGTCTCTGCTCGCTTGCTCTCAGTAGTTCTCCCCCTTCGCATTGTCTTCCAGTGTCGCTCCTTCGATGCCTCTGCCACCTCCCTCGTCTCCTAGCTCCTCTCCTGCTGTCAGTACTTCCTTGCCGGTCCTTCCCCTCTCTATCTAAACACGCCCTCAAAGCTGCTTCTTTTTCTTTACTCCCAATGCTTATTCCTATTGACATGAGCTATGGGTGAGGCCGATAGGTTTTCCAATGATGATAATGCCCTTCCACTCCTCATCCCCTCACCTCTCTTTTCCCTCTCCCCCAGACCTCCTCGGCTCGCCCTGCTACTTGGCCCGCGACGTTCTCGTGCGGCTCTTCTACTCCCTCGCTGACGGCACATGCTGTCTCAACGCCCTTATTCACTTACTCCCCCTTTGCCCCCCTCGCTTGGTGCACCCCTCCCACCAGACCTCCTGGGTTCCCCATGCTACTTGGCCCGCGACGTCCTCGTGCGTCTCTTCTACTCCCTTCTCCACGCCGCACACTGGCCTACTCGCCTACTCGCCTACTCGCCTACTCGCCTACTCGCCTACTGGCCTACTGGCCTACTGGCCTACTGGCCTACTGGCCTACTGGCCTACTCGCCTACTGGCCTACTGGCCTACTGGCCTACTCGCCTACTCGCCTACTCGCCTACTGGCCTACTGGCCTACTGGCCTACTCGCCTACTCGCCTACTCGCCTACTGGCCTACTGGCCTACTGGCCTACTGGCCTACCGGCCTACTCGCCTACTCGCCTCCTCGCCTACTCGCCTACTCGCCTACTGGCCTACTTGCCTACTGGCCTACTGACCTACTGGCCTACTGGCCTACTGGCCTACTGGCCTACTGGCCTACTCGCCTACTGGCCTACTGGCCTACTCGCCTTCTCGCCTATTCGATTACTCGCCTACTCGCCTACTCGCCTACTGGCCTACTGGCCTACTGGCCTACTGGCCTACTGGCCTACTGGCCTACTGGCCTACTGGCCTACTGGCCTACTGGCCTACTGGCCTACTGGCCTACTGGCCTACTGGCCTTCTGGCCTACTGGCCTACTGGCCTACTGGCCTACTGGCCTACTGGCCTACTGGCCTACTGGCCTACTGGCCTACTGGCCTACTGGCCTACTGGCCTACTGGCCTACTGGCCTACTGGCCTACTGGCCTACTGGCCTACTGGCCTACTGGCCTACTCGCCTACTCGCCTACTGGCCTACTGGCCTATTGGCCTACTGGCCTACTGGCCTTCTTGCCTTCTCGCCTACTCGCCTACTGGCCTACTGGCCTACTGGCCTACTGGCCTACTGGCCTACTGGCCTACTGGCCTACTGGCCTACTGGCCTACTGGCCTACTGGCCTACTGGCCTACTGGCCTACTGGCCTACTGGCCTACTGGCCTACTGGCCCACTGGCCTACTGGCCTACTGGCCTACTCGCCTACTCGCCTACTGGCCTACTGGCCTACTGGCCTACCGGCCTACTCGCCTACTCGCCTCCTCGCCTCCTCGCCTACTCGCCTACTGGCCTACTTGCCTACTGGCCTACTGACCTACTGGCCTACTGGCCTACTGGCCTACTGGCCTACTGGCCTACTGGCCTACTCGCCTACTGGCCTACTGGCCTACTCGCCTTCTCGCCTACTCGATTACTCGCCTACTCGCCTACTCGCCTACTCGCCTACTGGCCTACTGGCCTACTGGCCTACTGGCCTACTGGCCTGCTGGCCTGCTGGTCTGCTGGCCTACTGGCCTACTGGCCTACTGGCCTACTGGCCTACTGGCCTACTGGCCTACTGGCCTACTGGCCTTCTGGCCTACTGGCCTACTGGCCTACTGGCCTACTGGCCTACTGGCCTACTGGCCTACTGGCCTACTGGCCTACTGGCCTACTGGCCTACTGGCCTACTGGCCTACTGGCCTACTGGCCTACTGGCCTACTGGCCTACTGGCCTACTCGCCTACTCGCCTACTGGCCTACTCGCCTACTGGCCTACCGGCCTACTCGCCTTCTCGCCTACTCGCCTACTCGCCTACTCGCCTACTTGCCTACTCGCCTACTGGCCTACTGGCCTACTGGCCTACTGGCCTACTCGCCTACTCGCCTACTCGCCTACTCGCCTACTCGCCTACTCGCCTACTCGCCTACTGGCCTACTGGCCTACTGGCCTAATGGCCTACTGGCCTACTGGCCTACTGGCCTACTGGCCTACTGGCCTACTGGCCTACTCGCCTACTCGCCTACTGGCCTACTGGCCTACTCGCCTACTGGCCTACTGGCCTACTCGCCTACTGGCCTACTGGCCTACTCGCCTACTCCTCTACTCGCCTACTCGCCTACTCGCCTACTCGCCTACTCGCCTACTCGCCTACTCGCCTACTGGCCTACTGGCCTACTGGCCTACTGGCCTACTGGCCTACTGGCCTACTGGCCTACTGGCCTACTGGCCTACTGGCCTACTGGCCTACTGGCCTACTGGCCTACTGGCCTACTGGCCTACTGGCCTACTGGCCTACTGGCCTACTGGCCTACTGGCCTACTGGCCTACTGGCCTACTGGCCTACTCGCCTACTCTCCTACTCGCCTACTCGCCTACTGGCCTACTGGCCTACTGGCCTACTGGCCTACTGGCCTACTGGTCTACTCGCCTACTCGCCTACTCGCCTACTCGCCTACTCGCCTACTCGCCTACTGGCCTACTGGCCTACTGGCCTACTGGCCTACTGGCCTACTCGCCTACTCGCCTACTCGCCTACTGGCCTACTGGCCTACTGGCCTACTGGCCTAATGGCCTACTGGCCTACTGGCCTACTGGCCTACTGGCCTACTGGCCTACTGGCCTACTGGCCTACTGGCCTACTGGCCTACTGGCCTACTGGCCTACTGGCCTACTGGCCTACTGGCCTATTGGCCTACTGACCTACTCGCCTACTCGCCTACTCGCCTACTCTCCTACTCGCCTACTCGCCTACTCGTCTACTCGCCTACTCGCCTACTCGCCTACTCGCCTACTCGCCTACTCGCCTACTGGCCTACTGGCCTACTCGCCTACTCGCCTACCCGCCTACTCGCCTACTGGCCTACTGGCCTAATGGCCTACTGGCTTACTGGCCTACTGGCCTACTGGCCTACTGGCCTACTGGCCTACTGGCCTACTGGCCTACTGGCCTACTGGCTTACTGGCCTACTGACCTACTGGCTTACTGGCCTACTCGCCTACTCGCCTACTCGCCTACTCGCCTATTCGCCTACTCGCCTACTGTGTTGTAACTGTATCTTATATACAACATACATAGGCTAGAATGGTGTAGCTCTTTATGTTCTTGGGGGGTTGGGTGTACACTCCAACCACATTTTGTGGTTGGTCAAGGTTGGGTTTGGTCTTGGTCCTTGGTTGGCACTTGCCAACTTTTGGTCCTAAGGCCTACCAATCACAACCTAGCAACATTGTGGGGTTACCTACTCCACAAGGCATCTCCCCCATTGGCCAACTTAGTGGCCAATAGGGTTTGCTCCTTCTTCACCCCTCTCTTGCTTGCATGCTTGTACTATAGAGCCTCAATGGCTCATCATTCAACTACTCTTGAATTCTATCATGGTATTCAGAGCCAAATGGCTCACGCCAGCTTCCCTCGATCCTCATGTTGTAATTCCCTCCCCGCTCCCTTACCCTAGCGGACTATGACCTACATCCGCCCACCCGCTCCTCAGATCTAGCCTCCCGCGGCTCAGTTCCGCCTCCCGCGGCTCAGTTCTGCCTCCCGCACCTCAGATCTAGCGTTCCGCGGCGTAGATCTCCTCCTCCGCGGCCTCAATCCTCCCTCCCGCGGCCTCTATCCTCCCTCCCGCAGCCCCTATCCGCTCCCCCGTGGCAGCAATCCTTCCTCCCGCCGCCACGCCTCCATCTGCCCGCCGACGCGTCCGACCTCCGCGCCGACGCGGACGACCAGCGCGGCGACGCGGACGACCTGCGACCGCCGCGGACGGCCAGCGCGCGACCCCCGACGACCAGCGCGCTGCCGCGGACGGCCAGCGCGGCCTCGCCGACGGCCCGCGCGCTGACGCGGACGGCCAGCGCGGCCCCGCCGACGACCCGCGCGCTGACGCGGACGGCCAGCGCGGCCCCGCCGACGACCCGCGCGCTGACGCGGACGGCCAGCGCGGCCCCGCCGACGACCCGCGCGCTGACGCGGACGGCCAGCGCGGCCCCGCCGACGACCCGCGCGCTGACGCGGACTGCCAGCGCGGCCCCGCCGACGAGCCGCGTGCTGACGCGGACAGCCAGCGCGCGGCCACGAAAGAACCGCGCGCCACCGCGGACGGCCAGCGCGCGGCCGTCGACGCCCCTGCGCCGACGTGGACGGCTGGCGCGCAGCCGCGGCTGATCTGCCCGCCGTCGCGTTCGCCTGCCCGCGATCTCCACGACCTCGAAACCCTAATTCCTCCCCGCACTTCCGCACCAGCCTCTCTTCCCCTCTACCTCCTCCCCCTACTCCACCCCTAACGGCACCAGCAGCAGCAGCAGCGGCATCGGCGGCGGCAGCAGCAGCGGCATCGGCGGCGGCAGCAGCAGCGGCATCGGCGGCGGCAGCTGC